TCCAGGTTTGGGTCCACATCAACCCCAGCTTCCAAGCCCTCAAGGCCTCCAAATACAACAAGGGCATGCCTGGGGAGAGCACAAGGACAGGGTGAGAGCAGACTGTCTAGGACTGCATCCAGGCTCCTGTGTGCTGCTGAACAGGGAGCTGTGTCTGTTGCTGATGGTGCCCACTGCAGCTGCCTCCCCACCAAAGCCCCACAGCATCTGGCCAATGTGACAGTCCCTGCTACCAACTGCAGAGAAAAAGAACTGGCCTTGTTCTGAGGTATTTCCCCTGCTCTGCTGCCTGCACCAGCCTCACTGGGAGCTCTGAGTGAGTCCAGGCAGGCAGGACACAAACCTGAAGGAGGGCAGAGTGACCTGGTCCACAGAGCTGCCCCGCTCTGAGGTCCCAATAGAGAGATCATAACCTTCCTTGAATGGGCACTCGGAAAAGACAGCACCTGGAAAACAAGAGTTTGGGGTTATTGCTGCCATGTGCTCACCTGTGTGCCTTCTGGACAGGCTAGAACACTCCATGGTTGAGTAGTGGTAGCAGGAGTTGCTTTCAGTGCCAAAAGTGCAGCTGGAGACAGAGTGACTCCTCTTTCCCACATAATTCCCCTGCTGCAATTCTCCCACATCCTTTTCCTCAAAGCTCAAGACAGGTGCCAGGAACCACCCCTTAACAGCTTACAGTCTTCCTACAAGGTTCCATCAACCAGAAGATATGAAAACAATTTTTCAGGGGTCTTGGACTCCAGTTGCTGGCTCTGATGTGAATGAGTGGGATGTAGTTATCATGGAAATAGAGAAGGGCATCAACTCATCTCTTGGTGTTGTGCAGCCATTTGGAGCAATGGTGAGTGGAGGTTACAGGGCACAGTCCTGGGGGTGACTGGGGTTGTTCATGCTTCCTTTCATCCCAAAAATCTGACTGCCACATGGCTGCTGGCTGCACATGTAACGTGCATGTCTCCTTCAGACAAGGAGCTTTCTAGGAAAGAGATGCATGCAGCCAGCAGGCCTGAGACTGGTGTGGATGCCCAGGCAGGGAATCTCCCTGGATACTCACTCAAACAGGAGGCCAGGCGGACGCTGTAACCCCAGTACAAGCCCGAGACTGCCCGGGGGTGGTGCGAGGACACCACGGTGCCTTTCCGCACTTTGGCTTCTGAAAGAAAGCAAAGAGGTTAAACAGCCCCTGTGATCTGGTGAGATTTGACCAGCCACAGCCATCACCCTCTCTTTTTCCAGAATGTGAAAAAGTATTCTGGAAATTGTAAGTTCTGGAAAGCCTGTGAGCTTGTGTTTGGGCTGTTTATTGCTGAGAAGAGCTGACAGTTCTTTCCAGTTACTGAGGGAAGCATGGTAAGGGTGTTAAAGTTCTGGAAAGCCTGTGAGCTTGTGTTTGGGCTGTTTACTGCTGAGAAGAAGAGCTGACAGTTCTTTCCAGTTATTGAGGGAACCATGGTAAGGGTGTTATTAAATTTGTGTATGGAGTGAAGGGAACATGCAGAACTGTTGGGTACCTTCAAACCTGTCATACAGAAGGACCAGCTCCTGCAGGACTGAAGTTTACAGATGCTCCTGGAGCCATGGATTACCTGGATTCTGGGGCTCCTGCAGGCGTACAGTGACTCGCAGACCAGGGTTCAGCTGTTTGTCAATCTGCACCTCCTGCAGTGACAGTCACCATCAGCACCAGACATTCTGCAAGGACTGAGGAAGGTGGGGAAGGAAGGGAATGCTTTGAAGAACTGGGGGTCTGTTCTGGCATGGAGCTGAGATGAAGAGCTCTGTGTGTGGCTCAGGCTTGCTCATCAGTCTGAGGCTTATTTCGCTACTCAAAGGTTCAGCTGCAGCAGTAAAGCAATGATCTGCTGGAATGCCTGGGGCCTGCTGGGGCTTGGGAAGCCACAAACATTACAAAGTCATAAGGGACAAGACCGCAACAGCCTTAAACCCCCACCAGCCCACTGCAGCCTTCAGAAACCCAGCAGCGCCCACCCTGCCTGCTGCAAATCTGCCAGAGAGACAAGGGAAGTTGTTTTGGCACGTGTGGGTAACAGACACACCTTCCTCATCCCACAGTTAACAAAAGAGCCTCTGCCGGGCTTCGTTGGCCGGTCCAGCACGACGCCCTCCCGGTACTCCGAGTCCTCGTCCATCCGCATGTGGTGGGGGCTGTCCAGGGGGTTGAGCAGCCCTAGAGCAGCACAGAGCACAGAGCAGCTGGGGGGAAAGCACAGGTGGAGGTGCAGGTGCTCCCCTGCTCCTTCCCTCTCAGGTCCAGTGCTGAAGTGGGGAAAAGTCCTGGCTGAACCACACAAAAGGAGCCAGAGGTCAGGAAGGAGAGAGAGAACTGCATTTACCTGCAAACTGCAGATCCTCGTGTTTTGGAAAAAAGGATTTCCTCAAGTACCTGTCGCCAGAGAAAGGTGAAATCTGAAAAGGTATTTTTATGGAATCTGGATCTCAATTCTAGCCCTGTTCTGACTCAAATAGCTGAGTATAGAGAAAAGCAAACTTACTGAGGGCACTCCAAGTACTGCAGGATCCGAGCCAGCTGCACACAAGCCTTGCCTTTCTTCCCAACTCCTTCAAAATCCCCCTCCACGCTCCTGAAAGTGAAAGCAAGCAGCTTGTTAACTCTGCATGAGATTGGTCAGGTCTCCAGAAGACCAAGCCTTGCTTCTTAATCTGACAATAGCATCACATCCTTCCCCTCTCACCCTTGTAAGACGGCTGCTCCACAGACAATCTGTTAACAAATCATCCTTGGAACTCTCTCCAAGCCAAGTACCTTTTTCAGTTTTGTTTTTTGATCCTTATGTATGATTGTGATGTGGCAGGATGTCAGGAAGATGTCCTGACAGATGTCCTATCCCTCCATAGCAAGGTTTAAGAGTACAGGAGAACTTGGCCTCCTGTTGCTTTGTTAACCCCATGTTGGGATAAATGATCTGAGCTGCCAGGGCATTTCAGTCAACATCTTTTTCCCTGGGGTATAGTGGTCCCCACACTCCTGGCACTGGGGAGAGGTACATGCAGTTCCTTCCTGGCCTTAGCTTAATAAAAGAGTGAAGGAACAGAAAGCTGAGAGGAAATACCACGCAGAACAAGATGGCTCTTCTTTCAGAGAATCACAGAATGGCCTGGGTTGGAAGGGAACTTGAAATATCATCTTGTTCCACCTGCTGTCACGAGCAGGGACACCTTCCACTATCCCAATTTGCCCTAAGCCCCATCCAAGCTGGCCTTGGACACTTCCAGGGACAATGCAACCGCAGCTTCCCTGGGAAAGCTGTGCCAGGGCCTCACCACCCTCAAAGGGAAGAACTCCTTCCTGCAATCCTAAGCATGCTCTCCTTCAGTCTTTGCCTTACTTCACATCCTCTCCGTGCTCGTCGAACACCACGATCTCATCCACGCAGAAGATGGCGCAGGCGCGGGCGATCTGTCCGGCCAGGTAGGAGCGCAGCGCCGGCGACTGCGCGTTGTTCAGGATGGAGCCGGGCAGGGCCACGCTCAGCGTGTGCTGCCGGCCTGGGGAGCAGAGGCGTGAGAGAGCCCGGGTGCAGCAGCACGTTTACTGCTTCAGCTGCACGCGGGCTGGGGGAAAAGCAACTTCTTAGGTTTAATCACTGGTTTTCTCTTAAGAAAGATCTCTAGTGCAGTGTTTGTGCCTGTTTGGGCATGTGGACTGATCCACATCAATCTATGAAATAACACCTTTCCTATCGCCAGGTAACACTGACTGCCTTTTAACAGCCAGGTTTTCTAGCACTTTCCACCCAGGTCTCCCCACTGGGTCACAGCAGCATCACCTCTGTCTTCCTTCTGCTCCTCCTGCGTCTGGGCTTGCTGTTCTGCCAGCTCTCGCATCCGCTGTTTGTCCAGTTTCTTCAGCAGCTTAATTTCCTTCCATTTCTTCGTCTCTGCTTTCCCTGGGACGGAGAACAGCGCCTGGCGTTAAACACCGCGCCGTGACCGCTCCTAGCGGCCCCAGCCCCAGCGTGTGCCCGGCTTTCCTTACTCTCCTGCTTCCAGCGCCGCCAGTCCACCTTCCTGTCCTCAACCTACGGGGACAGCACGCGTTACCGCCGGGCTCCCCTCAGAGCGGGACCCGAGCAATGCCCCGGGCTCCCCTCAGGGTCGCGGGCTGGACCCGGGCCCCCCTCACCGCCCACCTGCGCGCCCCTGGGCCGCTTCCCCACGCCGCTCTCCGTGTCCGCCATCTTCCCCGCGCTGCCGGCCGCGCCCCCGCGCTGCTGATTGGCCGGAGCGCGCGGGCCCCGCCCACTGCGGGGAGGAGCCCGAGGTCACGTGGTCTGTGTTTAATCGGCCCGCGCGGCAGCGGAGCTAAGCAGGGTCGGTCGCGTTCCGCGGGAGGATGGGCGACCCGGGCGCAGCGGAGCGCTGGGCGCAGCCCGGGGGCCGGGGAAGATCACAATTCCCACCGATCACAATTCCTACAGATCACAATTCCCACGTGGTCGTGTGTGTAAAATCTGCGTACTTGCGTCTGCGTGTCTTTGCACAAGCCCTGCGTGTGTTCTGAAGATACACAGATGCACCCTGCCCTTTGCAGGTTGTGTCATGGCCTAGACAGGAGCTCACGCACGTGGGGGTGCTGCAATTAATCTTCATACCAATCTAACTGCACGGTTCTTTCTCTGTTTCAGACTCTCCCCATGTTTGGTAGATATATGGGTGCAAAAGGGCTTTCAGCAGCACCCCCACCCACCCAGGCTGAGGAAGCAGGTGAGATGGGACGCCAGGAAAGGCAGGGGGCTGTCTGCCTCCTTCCCTCTCTCTCTCCTGCTGGCCCACGCAGCTCTGCCTCCAAGGGATTGGTATCACCAAGCTGCAGCCCAAAATGGAAAACCTACAGAGCTCTCCCCACCAGCCTGAGTGGGACAAGTAGCCACCATCACAGGACCCAGCAGAGACGAGGCAGCTCTCAAGGAGAGCTCCATCAGTCCTGCAGTCATTACAGAGACACTCTTCCATGATTGCAGTAATTCCTCTTTAATAATTTAACTGCTACAAACACTCATTGCACAGTCTGTTGCACACAACTCCCACATGGTTGATGATGATGTTTTACACTCTTATCCAGGCTGACATCAACGCTGATGCAAGAATTAACTGTCCAGAATTGTTCATGTTACCCCACCACTCACTGGGTGGGAGGTGGTGGTGGCCACCAGCAGCAGGAGCAGCCAAAGCCACAGTGCCCATTCTCCCCAGCCACGGTGTGCATTTGTCAAAGGCAAGAAAAAGTTTTGCTCTGGAGCCTGGACGATGCTGCCAAGCCCTGAGAAAGTGCCAGGAGTAATCTGGAAGGTTTGACAATAGCCAGGCTACTGGTGAAAGCCTGTTCCCTGGGGAAAACCAATTGTGTGGTCATTTTCCCCAGAGATGCACAGAGAAAAATAGTGGGAAAATAATTTCTGATGAGAAATGTCATTTCACTGGGTTTGTAATTGTCAGGATCATAGGAGTCACCTTACTGATGGCTGGTGATACTCTCTAGTCCTGTGGGAACGTGAGTGCTGGTGGAAATGCTGCCCTGAGTGGGGATGTGGAACAAGACAAGTCACACTAACAGCACAGCCTTAAAGATAGGTCCTGAAACACCTTTTCAGAATTTGGTGATGAGACAGAGCCCAGAAGCCATCCTCACCTTGTGTGTTGCTGGACGCATCCCAGAACTGATTATCAAAGTTTTCACATGTAAGAAATGTCAAATGCTGTCAGTGCACACAAAGTCTCACTTCTTGAAATCATTTCACAGTGATTGAAAATGTCCCCCAGGCCCTGGGCCTGGAAAAACTTAACCATTTGTCTGTCAGAAAATGTTGTTGAAAGCACTGAAGTAAGAACATACCAAAGTTTGTAGACAAGTGAAGAAGAAGAGCAGCTGGGGCAGATGATGACCAAGGAGAGCGTGGTTCTCAGTGTATTCACAAGCTGGTTTTCTCCTGTTTCCATTTTTGTAATATGTCACTTGCTGCCTTCAGGGTAGCTTCCTCCTAAAAAATACCACAGACATGGTCAGTGGCTCCCAGCCAAATCCTATTCCCCCTCACTGCAGCCACTGTTGACACAAAAATCCTGTTCTCATTCTGAGGCATTGCAGCTTCAGTATGAGACAGACACAGCCACTGGGCAGCTAAAGGGGCACCTAGAGAGTCCCTTCCTTGGCTAAGAAATGCAGGATGCTGATAGGAAAAGTCAGGATGTTTAGGATAGCCCTGGCACATCTGCTGCCCCCAGCTCAGCTCATGTGTCTACAGGAGTAGCTCCAGCTGGGATGCCATGGTGGGCTCCAATGCCCAAGGCATCCTGCATTTCTTCTTGGCATTTCTCTCATTAAACCAGCCCTGATTATTACTCCCAACCTTGCCTTCCTTAGTGCTGTCCATGTCTCACCTTTGCAAAGCAGAACCGGATGAAATTGGTGTAGTTGTTCTTGTGGGCCTCGCTGTAGAAAGCGGAGAGCGGGATGGCAGCAAGCCCCTGGGAGGAGGAAGCACGTGGAGCTGAGGGTGCTGCTCTGGGGCTGGCCTGCAGCCTGCTGGGCCCCAGTGTGGTGAACTCCAGGCCCCCCAGCCATGAGCTTGGGTGGGCACAAACCCCCCCAGGGTAAAGGCAGCAGGAAGGGCCAGACCCTTTTACCTTGTTCTTGACCATCCACTTTGCAAATCTGGAGTCGTAGGGCTCATCTGAGTTGGGGACATCAGGGACATCAGATTCTGCAGGAGAAGCACAGCAGGACAGAGGCTGGGACAGCTGCCAGGTGCCTCAGCTGAGCCCCAAGCCCCCATCCTTGCAGCTGGAATGGGGAACATGCAGCCCATCCCTACTTTGATGATGGTTTATGCAGGTTCCTCTCCCTGCCAGTAGTGCCACACCCCACACCCAGCCCACCTGGGCAGGACTGCAGGTGACTCACTGAACGGGGAGATGTCTGCCACCAGGAAGTAGGTGCCCTCTGGGATGATGGGTTTCATCCCCACCCCATCCAGGCTCTGAACCAGCCAGTCCCTCTTCTGCTGCAGCTCCTTGGGCAGCTGGACGAAGTAGCTCTCTGGTTTTCCATAGAGCATGAGCTCCCTCTGGAAACCCTGAGCCACGGCCTCCTGTAAGGAGAGAGGGGCCATTGCCCAGTGGTCAAGGCTTTCTTGGGAATTGAAGTTCCTGAATTTACAGGTGATAGGGGAGCTCTCTGCCACCAGCCCCTCTGAACTGCCCCTTAAATTTGTGAATGCAAGATAAGGAATATACCCCAGGCAGGCTGGACTCTCCCCTTTCTCCCAGACATGGAATAACTGTAGGGAGAGAGGAAGGAGCCTCTTCAGGGCACCACAAATCACTTGTGTGTGCCTTTCAGGTCAGCTGTGGCCAAGAGGACCATCTCTTACCCCTGGGAATTGCAGGGCCAGGTGCAGGGAGCTGCCTTACCTGGGCAATTGTGGCACAGTGGTACACGGAGTTCTGGTGCACGGTACGGAGGTGCTGCAGCAGCCTGTCAGGTCCCACAACCCAGCCCACCTGTGGCCAGGAGAGGAGGAGGATGGTGAGTCTGGCTGCCTGCTCAGGCTCCCTTTTCTGTGCCTGTGCTGGTTTCATTGCTCTTTCTAGACAGAACTTTCATGAAGCACCGCTGGTACTTTCAGACCCTGAGGCTCAAAGCTGAGCGTGGCCACAGCGTCCCCGGTGCTGTGCTGTGGCAAAGGGACAGGGATGGGGACACAGCGAGGTGCCACATGGGACATTCACCTTCCATCCAGTGGCACTGAAGGTCTTCCCAGCACTCCCGATGATCACCGTGCGGTCCCACATCCCTTGCAAGCTGGCTGGCAGTGAAAGGAGAGAAACCCCAATGGCAGAGCTCAGCATGCTCCTTTCTGGCTGCATTAATGGCACGTGGGAGCTCTCTGTCCACCACAATCCATAGTGACCTTTAGTGTTCACAGCACATCTTTCACCTGGATGAGCCTCAAAGCACATCCCAAGCAGGCAGCCAGGTTTCTCAAGAGCATCTCCTTTTAATTAAGCGTTTTCACAGGCATGTGAAATTTTCACAGGCATATACTCAGCCCCGGGGGCTCTCAGAGATGCCAAGCACCATCACCCTGCATCAAGGTGATGGCATGTTACTCCAACTGGAAGAACAGCCTGAAACCGTGTTGAAATGAATTTCCTGGAGCTAGAGACACTCAGAAAACTGTGGCTTTACAAAGCATGGGAAAAAAATCAGTTTCACTGGAGTCAAGTGGCTTTTTGTTCTAGATCTCCCCTCTGGCTCTGAAGTCAGAGCTTCTGTTCAGGACCTGGTTTGGAGGCTGAGATTGAAGTGCACCAAAATACCTCCAGTGAGGGATTCATGCCTAGTACAGCTGTGCGTGCAGGCAGCTCCCGGGATTTCCAGGGGCCGCCAGAGCAATGCCCATTCCCTGCCCCGCCCAGCCCAGCCCTGCCCCGTACCGATGCGGATGTGCTGCTTCCCGTCGTAGACCAGCCACTCGTACACCTCGTCGCTGATGCACAGCACGTCGTGCTTCACACACAGCTCTGCAATCAGCCCCAGCTCCCCGCGGCTGAACACCTGCGGCAGGCACGGAGTGCAGCAGAGGTACAGAGGAGCATTTCTGAGCCCCTGCCTCTCCCTGCAGGTTGTGAGTATCCTCCTGGCACCATCTCCCGTGCCAGGGAGGGGCAGGAGCTGCTGCAGTGGTCTAACAGGGCAAAAGCACGGCTGGCACAAAAGACAAGGCTCAAAAACACCAGGAGACTGAGCACAGCATGTGGCACTCCCACAGCACCCACTTCCCTTGTGTGCAAGGCAGCCTGAGTCTGCTGCACTGCAAATGTGGCTGCAGCACCCCAGCAGCTTCCAGGGCCCAGCAGCAATGGATTGCAGCAGTGTTACCTTGCCCAGAGGGTTGTTGGGTGAGTTCAGGACGATGGCTTTTGTCCGTTCACTGAATTTAGAAGCCAGTTCAGCTGGGTCCAGCTGCCAGTCTGCACTAGACATCAATTTTCCATCTTTTGGAGGATTCTAGAGATAACATGGGAATTTTGGTTTGCTTTGCTACCTCTGCACGTTGTTTACCACTCACCTCTTTGCTGACTGCTGTGACTCTTCCCTTCTCTACCCACTCACCGGTCTCAGAGGCACAAACACAGGTGTCCCACCAGCCATTTTCACCATTGGCTCATAGCAGTCAAAGAAGGGTTCAATGATTATCACCTGGAAGAAAGGGACATGTCAGCATCCTCCTGGTCCTGCTCAGACCTTCCCTGAGGAGTGTAGAGAGCAATGGAGGGACAGGACATTTTAATCCCTAATTACTGTAATGGAGAACCTGCATTGCCTGTGGGGAGTGTCAGGAAGGACATCACCACTCAGGACAAAAAGGGTTATTTTGCTTTATGCAGAAATGAGGCAATGCCCTGCAGCAAATAATTTCTTCCTTTGGTAGCTCAAGTACTGAAGAATGGGGATATAAAACTGGTTTTGTTTTGGAAAAGGACAATGAAAACCAGCCTGGAGGTGCCCTGGGGGAAGGCTGCCAGTGTAACAAGCCCTTATCTTGGGTTACCTCATCACCTTCATCCACTAAAGCCTGGAAGCAGCAGAACAGGGCCTGGTATGCCCCCACAGTCACCATCACGTTGGTCATAGGATCCAGGTCTCGTCCAAGCAGCTTCTCGAAAAATTGGGCTAGGACCTTCACCAGAGGTGGGTGGCCCTGTGGGGTGAGAGGAAGGTGGGAATTGGGTTGCAGAAGATTCCTAAACCAAGGATGAACCCTTGGAAGGGGACTGGGAAGCCAAGAGCCCTGTGAGATCTTCCAGCCTGGCTGCTTCAAACATCCCAGTAAAGCAGGGAGCTACTGGGAACAGTGGGCATGGGTCGAGGCTGGACGTGTGTTTTGCCTCATGTTTTTTGCTGTTTACTGCTGCCTGGTGAGCTGTGAAGCAGCCAGGACTCGTGGGGACTGAGGGGGTGGTGCTGGGGAGGGAGATCTGTCACTCACAAAGGCACGGGTGTACTGGTGCAGCATGTGGTTCCCCCCGCCGAGGGCTCTCGTGAGTGCCTCTGTCAGAAAGTCTGGTGCAGGGAAGTCAGGGAAGCCCTGGCCCAGGTTCACCTTGGAGTAGGTAGCAGCCAGTTTTACAAACTCCACCCTAGAGAGAAGCGAGACAAAAGCACTTTCAGAGGGTGTGAGCAGTGTGCCGGCACTGGGTCTGCTCGCAGCATCCCTTTGGAAGGGAGTGGGGTTGGTGTCCCTCCTGCAGAGCCATCCTGCTGCTCACAGGCAGGCAGGACCCAGCACAGGTCATTTCAGACCTGTTGCAATTAAACCAAGGCTCATGAACTATTGCACTGGGGAACTGTTTTAATTTATTCTCCCAGGAAACAGCTCCTGTGGTCAGTGTGTGGTCACAGCTGAAAGCCTGTGGTGTTTCAGATCACACTGGACTGAGCAGGAGGAGACTTGGAAGTTTTCAAGCTCATACCAGCTCTGCAAAATTTAGCAACTAGACACTGTGAAGGCCTCTGCAGAGGGCAGGGTGGGTTGAACTCGCTGCTCATCTCAAACCAAACAAGAGCCATCTCACTGGCAGTTTGTAGCTTGAGCCCAGGCACAGCAGGGCCTTGGGGAAAGACCATTTAAATCTCTTCTTCCAGCACACAACTTTCCCAATGCCACATTGTGCCTGGCAGGATGGGAATGGCATTTGCAGCAGCCCTTGCCCTGCCTCTCTGCTTGTGGTGCCCCAGGGCGAGCTTGGAGCAGGTGCCAGGCTGCAGTCAGTGTGCAGCAAACACTTGGCTCAGATTTGGGTGCCACTGGGATCATTTGGGCGGATGGGTCAGAGGGAGGGTGGTGCTTCTGCCTGCCCAGTGGTGCAGAAAACCTGATACATCCTGGAGTGAGAGCTGCAGGTACAGCACTGACTCATGGTAAAGTCTTCTGGGACAAACTTGCTCTGATGTGCTTCCTGAACACATGCAAAGCAGTTGAGGGAAACTTCTGCTCTGTGCTGTGTGGCTACTGTGGTTTCAATCTGGTTTTAGGATGCCTAAAACCACATCTACCACCTGGGTAAACCAGATATTCTTTTAACTCACCAGATATTTTTATCTATTCCCTCCAGCCTCCGAGCTTGCACTGGCCTTGACATTTTTGCCTGCAGAGAGTGAAAAAGACAGTGAGTTTGAAGCTTTTAAATGAGGCCATAAAGGGGCTGTGGCCTCCCCAGGGAAGTTTTTCCCAACAGAAGGTGTGCCCTTTAGCATTGCTTCATGGGCTGTTCCTGACTGATCTTGGAGCAGTAATACTGTTGCAGTGGTTTCTGCTTTCACTTACAAGTTTCAACAAGAATTGGGAAAATAGATGAACAAGAGAAGCTTTTGTACACTCCCTGGGGAGGTGGCAATGCCTTAAACCTCATTACCTGTTTGGATTAGTCATGGGGTCAAGTTCAGCCAGGCTGTAGCCAGGCCAAGGACCCCAGACCTCAGGCTTTTACCTTCCATAATCTCTCCATCTTCATAGGAAAGACTCCTTACTCTACAAGCCATGAAATACCCCCTTTTCCTAGAAGAACAAACTATTTTATTCCATGCTGCTCTGTGAAGTAGCAGAAGTAGATACTCTTCTGTCCTGATGAAGTGCTTGGTGAGGGGACTTGCTCTAGATCCTATAAAATGTACAGAGTTTTCTATTTAAAGTTCATGTCAAACCCAAGCAGTAACTAGGTACAGGCAAGAGAGCACAGCACAGAGGTCAGTGTGATGTACAGACACTGAGGTACCATGCCGTGACTGGTTTGTAATTTCCATGTACATCATGGCTCAGGGGAGTGGAAAGAAAGACAGCAGGAACACTGAAAGCAAAACCCTCCTTCCAGTTGGATAAGCACAGTGGGAGAAAGTTAGATGTGCTTTATGGGGTATTCATCACGAGGATGAGGATGATGAGAAGCAGCAGAGACAGAATTTAGTAACTCAGCAGTGCAGGGAAAAGGCACCCAGACAGGGAAGGGGCTGGAAACTGGAGACAAAGGATGCTCAGTGCACCAGCAGGAGCCAGCGTGGGGGCACGAGGAGAGCAGCCCTGAAGCAATGAGTCAAGAAAGCCATTGTCACCACAGCAAATAAAATACATCTGAACTGGAACAAGGAAGGCACGTGAAAGCAGCTGAGGTGAGGTGCAGAGCTGGGATGTGCCTGTGCTCTGCTGTGCCAGGATGTTGGGGGGATAACAGGTGAGCCTCCTCCCAACACCCAGCTGCAGCAGGACTTACCTGCTCCCCTCTGCTGTTCCCACAGCACTGCAGCAGAATTTGGGTAGTGCCCCAAGGATACTTTGTGCTGAGGTCCTTAGATTTTTATACAGCTTCAGCCCTTACCGGAGATCTTTGCAAACACCCAGCAGAGGAGCCCTGTGTTTCAGAGGGCACCCGGTGGACTCTGCTCCACCACAGGCAGCCAATGCAAGCAGAAGTCACTGGCTCCAGGGCAGCCTCTCTCCTCCCCTCCCTGCTCTTTCTGCACAAGCTCATGGCTGTTACAGTCACAAGACCTGGTGCCTGAGCTAATTTGGGTGGGAGCAGAAGGACTTATGGCTTGGGAAGTAAAGATAGCTGGAGGTAAAATATTAACAGCTCCAGTGCTGTTCTTGCAAGGTGGGGCTGCTGCAGGCCACAGGTCAGAGAATTTAACAGATGACCAAGTGTGATGGGGATCAATGGGAAGAAGGTGCCTTAAGCCTTGAAATTCCCAGTTCTGAGGAAAGGCCTTGTCTGCTTCAGGAACAGAAATAACAAAAATTATTTTTTTTCTGATATCCCCTTCATCCTATCCTATCCCAGCCTGTGTGTGATGGTAGAGAGCAACACAGGCTCAGGACCATGCAGCCCTCAAATCTGTTTCAGCCTGTTCTGTCCCCAGACAGAAGGTGCAGTTTGCCTGGCAGCCACACAGGAGAGCTGAGTGCCAGTGCAGAAGACTTGGCATCCATGATCTTCACCACTCTGCTGGGTGTGACTGCCTTGCTCTGCATGTTGGGATCTCTGAGTGGGATGCTGATATTTTCCAAGTACGTTGCAAACCAAGAGGCTCTAGTACAGACCATCAGAAGAAGCAACCCCACAAACAAGGAGCCTTTTCCTCTGTGAAGGATATCCCCTTACTTATCAGAATCCTTTAAACGCTCCCTGGAAATAAGCAGGTACAGAGGAAGTTGCAAAAAGAGTGGCTTTCCCTGATGTGCTCTGTCTGCTCTTGCTCCCAAGCTGAGGTGCCCTGGGCAGGCTGCCAGCCAGGAACAGTCCCACTGGGCATTCCATACCTCTCTGGAGCACGAGCTATGTCCAGCACTGCTGTTCTTCTCCAGCAAGAAGTGGCGAAGGGACGGTCCCGCTCTCCTGAGCATGCCACGGCTCCTGCTGTCTCACTCCTGCAGGCACAGACCTGCAACTCCCAAAGGACAGGGCTGAGACAATTGCTCCACTGGGTTAAAGCACACCTGTACCTGGGATCAGGCAGGCCCAGACCCAAAGCAGAGGTTGTTCTGCCACAGAGAGGAAAAGGCAAAATGAGCTGCTTTGTGTGTAATCACTGCAATGTCCAACAGTGCTGGGGCTGTACTTTGTGCCCATGACACACAGGATCAGGATCACAAGGGCAACCATGACTTCTGCCTCCTCTCTCCCAGTCCAGGCTTCCCTCACTTTCCTCTGCACTGATGGGAGTGGTATGGACACCAGTGAGAGGGCATCCTCTGGGAATTTGGTACACAGCATCAGCTCCCCATCAAGTGTCACTGAGCCCAGGTAACTCTTGCCTCTGCCCTTCCTCCCTTGCAACACTCTTCTAGAAAAATCGGGCAACCCTTGACCAGGGAACCATTGGTATCTGACTCCAAGGCTTCAGAATGCTGAACACTCACTTTATTAAAACTATACTATGTTACATTATACTATATTTAAGAGAGATACTGTACTATATCATACTACTCAAAAACTTGTGACTCTCCGCAGCCGACAATGCACACAGCTTGGACCTGATAGGCTAATTAACATAAACAATCTCCACCAGAATCCAATTACCAAATTCCTTCAGATAAACAATCTTCCAACACATTCCACACGTGCAAAAACACAGGAGCAGCAAATGAGATAGGAACTGTTTTGATCATTCTTTTCTCTGCTTCTCTGTGTTCAGAGGGCATGTGAATACCACAAACTTTCACCTTCCTGGCCCATACAGAGAATCTCTGGCTTCTCAGCTGCTGCAGCTCTGGTTTAGTCACAAGTTTAATTCCAATTAACAGGATGTCACCTTTGGTGATTATCTTTCCATCAAGATCCCAAACAAATTGATTTCTGTGTGTAAAATGCAGCCTGTTCCTTCAGGGCCCTTCAGCTATTCTACAGCATTACTTAAACATGCAGTATTTAAGCTGAAATAAGTGAATGTTTTGTTAGGTACTTGAGTTAAAAGCAATGAGTCTAGAGGTTGTATGTACCTTTATTATGACGAGCCATGAATTAATTTACCCATCTGCCAAAACATTAATTAAACAGATTTGAAGCTGACCAGCCCACAGGTAAGCTCTCAATGCTCCTAAGGGCACTTTCCATCCTTACATGCAGGATGCGAGTCCCCATTGTCTGCTTTTTTTGTTATTTCTAAAAAAAGTGTAAAGCAGCTGCCAGCCGAGACCAGTGGGGTTTCACATCTCTTCGCCAACTGGGAAAAAATACCACAATTTATGGAAAAATTGGAAGCCAGAGCATCATATTGCTTATGACTGTAAAACTCCACCTTGTGCTTGCATGACACTGAGATGTGGGGGGACACTGCTCTGGGGTGCAAAGCAAAGGAGTCCTGGCATGAGGAGACCTACCCTGCAGGGGACAGAATCAAAGTGTGGCAGTAAAAAAGGCTTTATGAGATAGCAGCAAACCACAGAGCCGTGTAAGAGCTGTGCACAGGGCGGGGGGCAGCGCCCGGGAGCAGCCGACCGGGACACCGCTGACTCTGGAAGGGAGCACTGGGCTGAGCAGAGGGTTTTTTGGAGGTGACCACCGGGAAGGTCACCTCGGGGACCGGTCACTCACCCCCTGCAGCCCGCGGGGCGCAGCCGTCCCCTCCATCCCGGTGCTCCTCGATCCCCCCCTTGGCAGCTCGGGGGTGCACCCGGGAGGCTTTGGGGACACGGCTGTCCCTGATGTGCCCCGGGAGGAGCGCAGGACCCGGGCGAGCGCAGGGCGAGAGCAGCAGGAGCTGACACTGCGGACAAAGCAGCTGCCGGAGGGACAGCGGGGACAAAAACAACTTACATCGAGCTGGGCCGCGCTGCTTTACGCTGCAAAGCCTGGCACAGCCGCCCAGGCTGCCCTGGCACACATTCTGCCTTCTCCTCGGCCCGAAAGGCTTCATCGGCGGCCGGGACTTCCTGGGAGGAGCCGCGGAGGCCGCAGGAAGGCGGGAGTGGAGCTGCGGCTCTGAGGGGGAAAAGCGTTCCGGGAGCCGCTCTGAGGGGTTCGACTGCCTGGGAAATACCCCAGCTTGTTGTTCAGGTGGAAGCTCATGCTGGCATAGCGGCGTATTTTTTGTGGTTTGGCTGTGAATACTTTAGCGTGGCAATGGCATGGAATTTCCCTTTGAGCGAAGCCTTCGGTCATTTTGAAAAATGAATTTTTAAGTCAAAATCCTCTCAGAAATTTCATCCTGAAGGCTTAATATTATTCGAGAAGGGAAGGGGTAAGTGTAAGGTCCTCCTGCCACGACACGGCCCAGAGCAGGTCCTGCGGCATGGCCCTGGGCAGGGACAGCAGGAGCTGAGCTCTGCCTCAGTGCTCGGGAGCTGACAGCTGCTGCAGTGAGCTCTTGAGGGAAAACTGCCCTCTTTTCCCTCTTCCTTCAGTGACGAGGCTTGCCCTGCACCCATGAGTCAGGTCGTGTAAGTCTCCTTGAATAATTTCTGTCGCCCTTTCACAGCAGGAAAAAATGAGCCATGAGGAAAGGAAGCGGCTGGGTCCGCTGTGCCAAAGGTTTCCAGTCCCAACGCGACACCCCACAGGCGTCCCTGAGGTGATTAAGCAGGAGGGAATGTCTGCAGGGAGAGGAAAGCCCTGTTTTCTACATTTCTGTTTAAATCAAACACTGAAACAAACAGATGAAAGGAAAATTTGGCTCTGTAAGAATGTTTTTGTCACATCTGGAGCCTTCAAATGGCTCAGCGGCATTTTTTCCTGTGCTTTCTTTGCCCTGTCCTCCACCAGCCTTGTGCCTTCCCTCGTTGTTGTTTGCCCCGTGTTGCGGTCTGATGTCATGGCTTGCCTCAATTCCCTTGGTTTCTCCCTGAAATTTCCTTCCCCAGGTGGGTGCCAATCACCTCTCCTTTTCCCCACCCTTGACCCCTGCTGGGCACTGTCTATCAACCCAGAAATTCCAAGGAGAGCGTCTAGCAATTGGCAGGTTCAAAGGATGCTCTCCACGCCCTGGGGGGCATTGGCCACCCAGGTGTCCCTCTCACCTGAGACCCCCTCCCCTGTGCCTGGCTGGTGCTCCCTGGGTCCCCTCCCCTGCCCCCTGCCCAGGTAAAAGAGCAAGCAGACCACAAGGTCGGGCTCCTGTTGGAGTTGTTGCAATATTCAGAGGCTGTGCCACCAAAATAAAACTCTGGATTAAAAGATCTCCATCAGGACCTGCTCCTTTCTTCACCTCGCCTTAAAGGTTCCTCCAGCTCTGAGGAGTGACCCCCTCACAGCAAGCTCCAGCTTGCCAGACAGACCAAGGCAGTCCCGTCTGTAATATTGGTACGCTCCAATAGCCCCTGAACTGAGCTTTTTTATTTAGATACATTAGCAAAAAGCCAATTTTTGCAGAAAAGTGGCCAATTTTCTGTCAGGTCCATGAGTTGAACTGGCTCAGGGTGGATATGAGGGTAAAAGGTCCTGCAAGGAAAAAGAGATATGGGCAGGGAAGAGTAGGGAGAAAGAGGGATGGACACAAGCGCCCACCTTCTCTGTCAGGATTTAGACATTATATTGGTCCATCAATATAATGAAACTTCACCTTCATGCCCTCTTGAAATTCAGCAGAAAATTTCTGGATAAGGTCAGTGATGTAAAGGACACATCTCACCTTGTACATTTTACTGTGAAACTCAAGGAAAGTTACAACCTTCTTTTTTTTTTTCAGGTAATTTTTATTTAAGAATTATGTCCCAATCATTTATTAATCAAACAAAAAAACTGTTGCACTGGGTTGGTAAGAGTCTACAGCCCTATGTCCTGGCACTGGGATCCCAGCTCCTCTGGTATAGATCCTGTTCCTGTGGCTACAGGAAGTTGGTAAGACTTATAATATTCCTAGAAAGGCAGAGATGTACTTACTTTATTGTTACAGACATCACTGGTGTAGACAAGTTAGAATTGGCTGCACTTAAGCACTCAGAAATGCCTGCTGTACACTAATAAAATTACAACTAATGCCTTTGAACCATCCTTTATGCATTTAAAAGAAATTATTCTTCACAGTGTCCTCCATTGCGTCAGACAAGTAAAAAAAACTACCAGTGAATCACTTTTTTCAGGCACCACAAACATCTCAGCAGCTGGATGCGCTCGGCTCCTTTAAGACTGGCGCCATTTTGAGCGCTGCCCGCCACCAAGATGGCGCCGCCGCCCTCACTCTCCCCCCCTCTTCCCGCCCACTCCCCCGTGCAGCGCGCCCTGCACAAAGATGGCGCCGCGCCTGTGTCGCCGTGCCCGCCCCCAAGATGGCGGCGGGACTGGGCGATGGTGGCAGCGCCGGCCGGGTGAGGTCAGATCCGGGGTGGGGCCGCTGCGGGCAGGGCGGACAAAAGGCGCCGGAGCGGCGTAAGGGAGGGTGGGCGTCGCGGGCAGGTGGGTGCGGTGGGTTCCCGGCACGGCCGCGGCGGGCAGGTGGGTGTGCCGCGCTCCCCTCACGCCACGGGCGGGCTGTGGGGACGTGTCCCGCTGTGAGGTGATGTCCCGGAGGGGATGGGGTGGGACACCGGGTCGGGGGGGCGCGGCTGAGGGGGCTCGGAAGCGGCGAGCAGGAAGGATTTGCTGAGTAATTGGGCAGCGATTCGGTTCTTCCGTGTCCCGCCGGCCCTGCTCTCACACCGCCCGGGGCAGGGGGGTCCTCGCCATGTCTGTGGGGCGAGGCAGGGCCGGGCTGTGCGCAGTGTCCCCCAGCGAGGGGAGGACGCCGCCGCTCGTTACCTGCGGACGGAAGCGCGGTGGGATTTATTTATATCTCCCAGAGGATGTTTTTTTCTGTGTCCGGAAAGCCGCGGTGGAGCGGCGGGGGCTGGTGCCGAGGTGTGCTGGGTTGAGGCTGGTACCCATTGCCTGGAGCGGGGGGAAGGTCAGAGAGTCCTCTCTTCCTAGTGCTGCCTTTGCGGCACTGTGGTACGGCTAAAATGCAATAGCTTTGGTTTCCAGGGTGTTGCTTCAAAATCTGTCAGCCCGAATGGTAACTTTGGGATCAAGAGGAATGAACCCTCGCACATCTTCAACATTATGGGGTTGGACTTTCTCCCACTGATGTCTGTTCTTTCTCATTTCTCCCCGTTGTTGACACAGTGCTCTCCGATGTTCCGCAGTCCTCTCCTATATGGCTGGGAGGCTGGATGCTTGAGAGATCCCTCTAAGGATCTGCTCCCTTGCCTGTTTTCCCATGCCCTGTGCTGACATGCAGGAAGGAAGGAAAAAATAACCCAGCCCTGTTGTAATTTTTGTTGATGGTGCTAAACTGCTTCTACTTCAAGAAGATCCATGTCATGAGCGAAGGGGGCAGTTGCTTGAATTTTGAGTGGTTAGGAATGTGGTCTATGTTTTTTCATACCCTGATAGTAATATTTAAAGTGGATCAGGCTTTTCAGACTAGAAATTAGGCAGTAAAGTCATCTCTTTCCCTATCAGACAATGATTTGTTATTCTGCCTCTACTTGTGTAGACTTAGTTGTGATATTAGTACTCAGCATCTCTTTTGGCTGCGTCTGCAACACCTGCTTTTTGGTAACTTCTGTTAGAATAACATATGCTGGAAATTCCTTCCTGTTGATTTTAGCTTGGCTCCTAGTGTTCTTGCCGTATTTCTAGGTATCAGCATGTCTCTTTCTGGTTCCCAGTGACCCTTTGAGTTGTTTGTGGCTTCTTAGATACTGTTTGCTGAGCTTTTACATGTCCCTCTGTGAACTTGATCCCCTCTTTTTTGCTGATAATCTGTGTTTCATTTCAGGGAAACTGTTCCCATGGCTTGTGGGGAGTGCAGCGCTTCAGCACTCGCTCGGGATCCAGCAAATAGGAATATCAGCCACTTCCAGCACAGAGAACTGACGTGCAGATAGCAGAACCCTGCTGCAAGGTGAGGGCTCTGGGCCAGCTCTGAGTGGTCAAGCCAAAAAAAAAAACCAAAAAAAAACCCCAGGATCCTGCTTAAACACAGATGCAAAGCACAGTGCATGAGATAATTGATATTGAGGAAAGGTGGTTGGTCAGACAGTGGTGGGGAGAGTGGTGGTATTTGTGATAGTGTTAATTAAATTCTGGAAGCCCTTAGCCAGCTTGGAGATGACAAAGGAACTGGGCCTTGTAAAAAGTAAAATATAACAGTATGTTGTCACCCATAAAACTAAATCCTGGCCACATAAACCCTGACCTGTCACTGCACTTAACAGTAAATACAGAGGCTGCTGCCCAGTAAATGTTTTGGTGACTGCTGCCTGAAGGGAATGCAGCTGAGAAGCAGGAACAGCTGTTGGTTTGGGGGGTGCCCTTCCATTTCCCATGGGGTGATGTTTGTCCTCCTGTACAGGTGTCTCCAGGCAGCTTTTCCCAGTGCACTCACCTGTCACCTGTGTGGGTGTCAGTTGGGCAATGGCAGAAACTAGTCATAGGAATCTCTCAGCTTCCTTGGTTCTGCACTGAGGCAGTGGTTAAAGGGATTGCAGAGTTCTCTGCCCATTTTCACGATGGGAAATTCTGTCCAGCTTGGCTGTATTCTAACCAGAGATGTGCAGTGTTTTGATTCCAGAACAGAAGAAACCCCTAAGGCTTTTCTGCTCTTCTGGCAGTTCACTGACCCTTTTCTTTTTTTAACTTTGTCATGGTATTTGAAAACTCTTAATTCTTGTAGGTTAAAGACAACATGCATAAATATTTCCTTAAGGCATGCCAGAAGCCATGTGTTAAAAGCTAATGTTGCCAGGCTTGAGATGTGAGTGCCTGAAGCCTTCCAGTGGTGACTTTCTGAAGCTGATTACATTATAGTAACTGCTGTAGGCAGTGAAGAGAGATAGTCTGTGGTTTGAAGGTCCCTTGTGTTACTTAAATTTAAAAAAAGGCAATGGAGGTCACATGTTTCAAAATATTCCTGTGTGATTAGAGCAGGCTTTTTCCAAATACTAAAGAAGGTTTTTGTTCAGTAGAGTTCTTCAGAAGCAAGCCTGTTTGTGTTTAACTGAGCTTAACTGGTGTCTCAGAAAATAGAGGGGCACTATTTGGTGAGTGGCACTGGAGAAGGGTTTATTAGGATTTCTGTGTGGGGCTCATTAAAGTGAGGAGAGGTGTGCACAGCTGTTGTTTTGGTAATGGTTAAAATTCAGAGTCTTCAGCTGCAGTGTGGTGAGTCTCCCTTTATGCATTTTTACAAGTGTTTTCAAACCCAGGCTCAATTTAGGATATGCACCCTAATACTGAACAGGCATTCAGCAGTCTGCATGCTTTGGAGAGTGTATCGTGAATGCTTCCAAGCAGCTTTTTTCTTGAACAGTTGATGTGGTGCATGCCTCTTGTATTGCAACTTGAAATCCAGTTCCTGTAGCTGGGCTATAGCTACCCTTCCCACTGCTGTGAAACTGCTTTTGAAACTAAAAGATATTCAGTCCTGACCCCCTGGCTGAAGTAACAGTGCTGCCCTCGCCCTCACCTTGTGTACCAAACATTGTTAACACCTGCTATAAAATTACCTTGGCAGTTCACAAAGCTCCTCTAGTGACTGCTGCTCCTGTAGCTTCAGCCTACTTCTGTGCACAGTAAAGATGTGTGCTGGACTAGTTAACAGGTTCTCCTTTAGAGTTGTGGTGTATCAGGCCTTGGTGATGCAGGGTGAGGTGGTCTGTTTTTTATTAACTAATACAGTCAGAAAATGTTCTGACTGGAAGTCACAGTTTTGGAGCTGGTGGTTCTGAGGGCAAGCCCTATAGGGAATATATGAAGAGGTTTCTTGCTCCTCTTTGTTCAGACTGGGGCAGAATATAGTGTGTTGATAGTTGATGTCTTAATTGGCTTGCATTGCTCTTGTCTGTGTCGTTTTTCATCCTGACTGGCTCATCTCTTGGAGCTTGAAAATAGCTGTGGTAACACCCATGGATTTGTGTGTGTTGTGACAGTCTGTCATCAATGAATTAAGTTATCCTTGCTTGTACTCACTTGGAATTTAGTGTTGACTTCTTATCTGTTGTTAGTTATGCCAAAGCTCTGCTGTGTCTACCCTTCCCACAGAGAACTGAGAGCAGCTGGTTCCTCCAGCTCTCAGTGCTGGAGTTAAGTGCTGAAGAGCCCCCTCCTGCATCTGGTGAGTTGTTTGGAGCTGGTCTGGTTTTCTTGAGCAGTTACCAGCAGAATTAATGCAATCACTTGTATCAGGCAGTACCAGGAACTGCTTCATTGTGTCCTCTTGGAGGAAGCCAGCCGTACTTTTCCAAGAAAGGTTCCATGCCCTGTCCTTGAAGCATTTTTGTTATGGCAAAGAGAAAATTAATTTTGGATAGGAAGCCTGTGGCCATATACATTCATAATTTATAAGCTGACACAGCCATTTTGCTCTGGTTTACATCAGTGTTGCAAGTCATCTGATGGACTTAAATTTACAACACCAGCACACAGTCCCTGCCCCAAGTGTCAGTGATGCTGGTAACTACAGACTGTGCTCAGTTCTGTGCAGCTGGGGCAAAACACTGTCAGGAGGCAGAAAATGTGGCAGGCCAAGCTAAGTCTAGCTTGGATTGTTCTGGTGGTGCAGCTGTTCTTCCCTGTACTTGTCAGGACACGCATGGTTGTGTGATGGTAAACAGGAGCTGTTGCACTAGGCTTAAGACTGAGAGTCTTGCATCTGACAGAGTCAATTAATGGGTAGGTGTAAAGATGATAAAATACTACCCCTATTGTAGGTGGATTATTCTTTTTAATGATCTTCAATAAAGACAATGTGATGCAGTGGGTTCACTTCATCCTGCTATGTCATGTGGCTTGGGTGGGGCTGAACGTTGTGAAAACCACCTTACCCTGCTTTCAGTGTTGGGGTCACTGCCTGTTCCACCGAGAGAGGAGTGTGAGTTCTGGCAGCTGCTGTTCCACCAGTCTCCCTGTCAAAATGATAAATGACCCTTTTAACTTGATGTAGAATTATAGAGTGGTTTGGGTTGGAAAGGACCTTAAAGATCATCTAGTGATCGTGTTCATTTCTCTGCCTCAGAAGAGGTTTGTCCCACAGGAGGGGTTTATCTTTTTAAAGCAGAAGGGGCCTGATACAGGAAAATAATGGTTATTTAGGGCTTTGGCATCTGGCTTCACTGCTCGTTTGTTCTAAGCAGCAAAGGACAAAACAATTCAGTTGTTCCATCTCATGTCTTGGGCTTATCCAGCTGATCATGTGGCTGTTCTAGAGCTTGGAAGGTTTTCTGAGGGGTGCCTGAAAGCAGCTCTGTTTTCAGCCTCCCTTTTTTTTTCCCCCCTCTTAATTCTGGGCCTAATAAACATGGGGGAGGAGAAACATAAATTCCCAGTCCCATTTCTGCCCAGTAAGCTCTTGTATTTCCTGATTTTTGAACAAAGAGCTCTGTGTCATGCCCTTCTTTAGGATTTCAGGTGGCAGCTTGCTGAGGAGGGAAGCTCTGCTCTGTTGAAAACTTACAGTAACGTGTTGTAGCTCGTTAATAATCAGGGCTGTAGTCTTGAAAGCATCAAGATTTTTATTTCCTCTATCCACCTCTGATGCTGTCAGCACCTGAACAACCCCCTCTTTCTCTGGGCTTCTGAGAGGTAAGAAATTGTCAGCAGGGTTTGACTTGTGCTTTGCAGTCCACAATCTTGAAATTAAATCAACTGGTAATTAAAAATATGTGTAGATGAAACGAAAGGGTTGCAGGATTCGACATAAATTTCATCCACATCTACTTACCCAGAACTGTTTTGTGAGACTAAATGTGAGGATTCTCTTCAATTCAGGGGGGTTTGTGCATTCATGTATGTGTCTTGAGGTTGTGCATATAAGTGCTTTCTGGCCAACAGCTTTGTTAGTAACAGAATGGCCAACAGAAAAGAGGAGGAAAGAGGACGCTGGATAAAGTATTCAGCAATGATGAGTCAAGCTGACAAACTGGCCAGTGAAACAGAACAGTGATGTTGTTTCTGTTCCCTCTGTCCTGAGCTGGATGTGCTGGCCAGCAGCTGCAGGCAGGAATTTGAAGTACTGTTCAGCTAGGTGTCTGTTGACAATAGGTCAAGCTTCAGTTTTTGAAACTAAATGGTTTTGGATAGAACAATTGTCAAAATCAGAGAATAGTTACTCTGTTGATACCTCTGTTGATTGTGGTTTGTGGGAAGCATTCATGCTCTCGGCTCTGTCAGCCTTTAAGAAGGTACTTGCTGCTTTTATGATGTCTGTCAGCTAGATGCATTTAATCTTGTCTCTGACTGGTTTTACTGCGTAGGTGTGGTTTGTTCAGAATGTCCCTGTTATTCCAACATGAGTGATTATGTTTCTCCTCCAGGTGTGTTTGGTAAAACATAGGATTAGTACTTGGTGATGCTTATGGTTGGCTGAAGGCTGGGTAGGTTTGGCAGGCTGGTTACATAAGTGTGGAACTGCTGGTCCTTCACCTGGGACAGCCTGTTCAGCATTAGTGGGGAGGCTGTAGGATTGTGCCCAGCAGGCTGAGGCAGGGATGGTCTTTGGTGGGATGCAAATCTGGATCCAGGTGAATTTGCAGGCCTTGAAGAGGTATGTCGTAGCCAAACATGGAATGTGTAAATATTTCAGGAGCATATTTATCTTGGCTGTATTGATCCTGTTGTATGACAGTGGGGCTTTAGCATACAGATCTTTTACTGAACAATCTCAGATGTTGCTGCTCTAAACTGACCTGAGGTAGTTCCTTATTGGATATAGAGAAGCTCAAAGTAGTGTTGCTTGGTGTAGCTGAAACCCTCCAATGTAAAGTCATTTCTGAGGGGGCAGGGGTTGGGGGACTGCTCAGGGACTGTGTGGTAGATATGTCTGGTAAGCTGACAGGAGTTTGGACAGAGAAGTTTTGATGTATCAGCTTATGCAAGTTTAGTGAAGTCAACTTGTTCCTGAACTTAAGCACTATTTCAGAACCTCAGTATTGATGACTTCCTGTGGCAGAGGTAACTACACTGCAAATTTGCTGTTGCTGAGCTCCAACTGGAAGGCTCTGCGATTTGAAGTATACATGAAGGAGCTTGGATCCTTCTTAACCAACACTGCTCTGACACTGAACTTCCTTTTCTGTAGCTGTTGCTGTCCATAAACTCAGTCACTCAATTCAGGTGTTCTGTGCTCAGCACTTGGTGAGGCTGTGTGCTAGAAATGACTTGGCAAATAAAATCTTCTTCACAGGTATTTTGCAGCTGACAAAGTGTCTTGGAATCTAACTCTTACAAAAAACAGAAGCTTGAAATCTCCAGTGTGCTGGTCCTGGGGATCTTGGTTTGCTCTTGGTCACAAGGAAGGTAACTATTTCTGGCCAGCTCTCTTCATTCAAGGATTGTTTCCAGTCCTGTGCCAGAATAATACCCTCCGTGTAAATCCCTCTGTTCTACTGCCCATGTTGGGAGGGTTGGTTTTCCAGCTACCTGTGTGTTTTCTCCCTGTAGAGTGATGGAAATCCCAGTCCTTGTGGGAAGAATCCTTCTGTGCATTGGAGAATCAAGTGGCAGAGATGAGCCCTAAGAATTTCACTTTTACTCTGCTGTTGTCATCCACCCCAGCAGCAAAACTGCTCTAATCCAGCATGGAGAATGTTGCAACCAGAATTGTGTTCTGAAATCAATACAGGATGGAGTTCACAAAATAAAGATGACATTTGATGACAAGATACACCTCCTGATGTAGAACCATCAGGAATTAGAATTGAATTGCATGCACAGGGAATCTGTTGAGGAGAGATGTGACTTTCCTCATCTACTTTTTCAAGGTTTTGGTGGGTACTTTTCCTTTTCATTGCAGATACTGGGAATAAGGTTAGATAAGACAGCAAATTCCAGCTCCTGCGAAGGTGGCCCCTAGTTTTATTGTTCCTCTTTGGGACTTGAATGGGGTCTCCACTGCTACCAGAAGTGGTAATTTGCTGTCAATGTTCTTTTCTTCCCCAAGTGCCCCTGTCATTGTTCCTGGAAGGCAGGAGATTTCCTGCTCCACCCTGTTAATTGCTGACACTGAAGAACTGTAATAGGTTTCAAGGGATGCTCATGATTTTTTTTAGCTGTCTTGTAAGTGCACAGTGTAAAGGGGGATTTCCTACCCCATGTGACTGGTAAGCAGAACTAGGGAGCCAGCTGTGCTAATTTCTTTTTGGTTTCCTTCCTACATATCCTGAGCTACAAATCAAAGTGAGTAAAAGGTTCATTTCTTGTGAGAAAGAATTAGGCATTTTCTGGATTGAGCAAAATGAGTAAACCCAGCAGTACAACACATGTTTGCAAACGTCGTGAGACCCCAGTTCCTGTAAAGAGATCATCTCAGTTTCATAATCCTACTATGAAGGGTCTGATACTTCCTACAAGTTTTTCTACCAAGAGGCAGGAAAGACCTTTGAGGACAAATGTTTATCTCTTTCCTCTTGTCTTGATACCATATTTTCCCCCCTTGATATGGAGTAGAAGGAATAGGTTCTTTCATGAGTAGCTGTTTAACTGCTGGATTCATTTCAGATGGTCTGGTGTGTAGAGAGAGCTTCTGTACCCTGCTTTGTCCTGCAATTATTATTTCTGTAGTACTCACAGACAGCTTTTCCTAAATGTATCTTGCACATGGGCTCTCCTCTCCCTGAGGCAGATGTATTCCAAGGAGGAAGCTGAAATGCCGTGCCTAGGGCTTGCAGCAAAGTAGCCACAGGGCTGGGAGGGAGGCTTTCAACACCTTGTCACTCTTCTCTGGCTGCTCAGGTGCTGTCCAGAAGTTCAGCTTTGCCTGCTCCCTCCCCTGTGGTTGCACGGTTCTCCTGCCCTGTTTAGTGCAGTTCCTTCTGGAGAGGTGTGTCAGCCACTTATCAGGGGCTCTGCAGCCCTACAGGACATTTTTTTCCTCTGACAGTGCTCTAGATCACTGTTTTCATCCCTTGTTTGTGACTTTTCTGGTTGATCATTAATAGATTTGCCGTTCCTTGTTTTACTGAATTTGTAGAACAGGTAATACCACTTTTTCCTCTCAAAATTACCCGCAAAAAGAAAGTGGCATTTCCCCAGTCTGGCTTTTGTGATGGACTAATATCAATCCATCACCTGTAGTTGCTTGAAACCTTCCCAAGCTGCACTGAGCTGAAGCTGTCATTTGACCACTTATTGTTGTAAACAGCAAGCTAAAGAATAGAGTTCTGTATTTAGTGTCCCTAGGGAATGTGGTGCTTTTTGAGGTCATGTTAGGAATGGCTTTCTTTGCAGTTCCATGGTGGAAGTTAATTTTAAGTAAAAACTTGAATTCTACCAAAGCAGGTGGTGTGGGCACCCCTGCTTGTCACAGAAGGCTTTGTCCCAACCAGTGATACTGAGCTTTTGGCCCTGCAGGACTTGTTGGACCATCTGTACAAATGAAATCTTAGGGCTTGGGGTAACATGCTTGAATTTTTGTTTTCTCCTTTATACTTTAATTGTGCGAGTTTCAAAATGACTGAAAGACTAGTGCTTGTCTTGCTCCTGAACTGTGCTAGAAGGATGCTGTGCTACTACTGCTTTTTCACTGTCGTTAGAATGAGTTACAGTGACTCCATGTTCTTCTGTGTTACCTGTCAAATAGGGGAGTTTTGTGAGCTCCATTATCCATGGATCAGTCAGGCTTTGGGGCTTTCTATGGCTTGTTGGAGAGCTTGCTCAAAGTTTCATCCGCAAGTCTGAAGGATAGAATAAGCACTGCCATCAGGCCTGTGCTTCCCAGAACCTTTTGGTTTCCTTTGTGACACTTAAATCCCTGCTGAGATGAACTCTAGGTTGGTCAGAGAAGCAAATTCTTCGAAGTATGTTTCCCCCTTCCTCTGTTTCTGTAATAAGGCAAAAACCCAGCTGCTACAGCATTTCAGTACTGAATTTATCAGAAGTCAAGTAGCTAATCTTTCCTTGGAGAATTAACTCAAAGGAAGGAAGCCAAAATTACTTACTTGGAAAAGTCATGATATTGAGCAATGTTTTTTCTCTTTTCCAGCTTGCTTTATGAATGTCATTATGTCATTGAGTTGCATCAATGAAGTGGTTATAGGAAACATACCTGTATTGTATGTAGATCTTTTTCCTTGCCCCTGCAATCTGAGAACCAGACATCTGCAGAATTTTATGTAGAAGCAGTAACAAACCAATGGTAAATATGCTCTGTGTGTAGATTTTATCACTTCTAACAGTGCTGGCAAATTCCTTCATCCCTGAAATTAAATGCCTAGATAAAACAGTAAATTTCCAAGTACTGGTCTGGTCAAGGGAGTTAAGTCCCTCTGAGCTTTCTTTGAGTGTCTTACCCCACAGACTGCTAACAATAAGTACCAGTTCTGAGGTTTTGTGACAATTTGTCTGTCAGGGAAGGCTGAACAAACTTCATGTCTGGGCTGTTGCAAATGACTCACAGGCAGCCTCATTCATTTGTCTCACAGTTACTTGAAATTGCATCTCGGCTAATCCTGGTTTTGCCATGCCAGCACTTAACATGTGATTTCTCATGCCCTCTTGAAGACCAGAACAAAACCCTTAAAGCTGTTTCTGGTTTGCTTCCAGGTGAATCATGATTCCAGTCACCGAGCTGCGCTACTTCGCTGATACTCAGCCAGCCTATCGCATCCTGAAGCCGTGGTGGGACGTCTTCACGGACTACATTTCCATAGTGATGCTGATGATCGCCGTGTTCGGAGGGACGCTCCAGGTCACCCAGGACAAAATGATTTGTTTGCCCTGCAAATGGGTTACCAAAGACTCTTGCAATGACTCTGTCAGGGGATGGACAGTGGCAGCCCCAGAGCGTACCTACTACAACACTAGCCTTGTTCCCTCTGCTGATTCGGGGCCTACGGGGATCCGATACGATCTGGACCGGCACCAGTACAACTACGTGGATGCGGTGTGTTACGAGAACCGTCTTCACTGGTTTGCCAAGTATTTTCCTTATCTAGTGCTGCTACATACCCTCATCTTTCTGGCTTGTAGCAACTTCTGGTTCAAGTTCCCAAGGACCAGCTCCAAGCTGGAGCATTTTGTGTCTATTTTGCTTAAGTGTTTTGACTCTCCATGGACAACGAGAGCATTGTCTGAGACGGTAGTGGAAGAGAGTGATACCAAACCAGCATTTGGAAAAATGAATGGCTCCATGGACAAGAAATCCTCCACAGTCAGTGAGGATGTGGAAGCCACTGTTCCCATGCTGCAGAGAACAAAGTCTCGAATTGAGCAAGGGATTGTGGACAGGTCTGAGACTGGTGTCTTGGACAAAAAGGAAGGTGAGCAAGCCAAAGCACTCTTTGAAAAAGTGAAAAAGTTCCGTACTCATGTGGAAGAGGGAGACATAGTTTATCGCCTGTACATGAGACAGACCATAATCAAAGTAATCAAGTTCATTCTGATAATTTGCTATACTGTGTACTATGTCAACAACATAACATTTGATGTAGATTGTAAAGTGGACATTGAGAGCTTGACTGGCTACAGGATGTACCGCTGTGCTCATCCTTTGGCCACTCTCTTCAAAATCTTGGCTTCTTTCTACATCAGTCTGGTGATTTTCTATGGTTTGATCTGCATGTACACACTGTGGTGGATGTTGAGGCGGTCGCTCAAGAAATACTCCTTTGAGTCCATCCGAGAGGAGAGCAGTTACAGTGACATTCCTGATGTGAAAAATGACTTTGCCTTTATGCTCCATCTGATCGATCAGTACGACCCCCTCTACTCCAAGCGCTTTGCTGTCTTTCTGTCAGAGGTGAGTGAGAACAAATTGCGGCAGCTGAACCTCAACAATGAGTGGACTTTGGAGAAACTACGCCAGAGGATCACCAAAAACTCTCAGGATAAGCTGGAATTGCATCTTTTCATGTTGAGTGGCATTCCTGACACAGTCTTTGACCTCATTGAGTTGGAGGTCTTGAAGCTGGAGCTTATCCCTGATGTCACTATTCCTCCCAGCATTGCTCAGCTCACCAGCCTTAAGGAACTGTGGCTCTACCACACAGCTGCCAAAATTGAGGCCCCAGCCCTTGCCTTCTTGAGGGAGAATTTGAAATCTCTCCACATCAAGTTCACAGACATTAAGGAGATTCCTCTTTGGATTTATAGCCTGAAGACACTAGAGGAGCTTCACCTGACAGGGAATTTGAGCGCTGAAAACAACCGGTACATTGTGATAGATGGACTGAGGGAGCTGAAGAGGCTGAAGGTGTTGAGGATGAAGAGTAACCTCACCAAACTGCCGCAGGTGGTGACAGATGTTGGTGTCCATCTTCAGAAGCTTTCCATCAACAATGAGGGCACCAAGCTCATTGTCCTCAACAGCCTTAAGAAGATGGTCAACCTGACAGAGCTTGAGCTGATCCGGTGTGACTTGGAACGCATTCCTCACTCTATCTTTAGCCTCCACAATCTGCAGGAAATAGACCTGAAGGACAACAACCTAAAGACTATTGAGGAAATCATCAGCTTCCAGCACTTACATCGTCTCACTTGCCTTAAATTGTGGTACAACCACATTGCCTACATCCCCATGCAGATAGGCAACCTGACCAACTTAGAACGCCTTTACCTGAACCGTAACAAGATAGAAAAGATCCCTACCCAGCTCTTCTATTGCCGAAAACTTCGGTACTTGGATCTCAGCCACAACAACTTAACTTTCATACCACCAGATGTTGGACTTCTTCAAAACCTGCAGAATCTGGCTGTGACAGCCAACAGGGTAAGTGAGCAAAGAGCTGAGTTGCTGTGTGAGGAAATAGTGCTGGCACTTCTGTTATCTGTGTGATTAAACATGCTACAATGGTCTGTAGATACAACTGGCACTGCGTTTGTAGCTCTCTGAGGGGTTTATCTGAGGCCAAACACTGCAGATAGCTCCAGGGCAAGCCTGTCTTCTAAGAGTCCTTGTCCTGTTGCATTTCCTCTCTTTAACAGTGAGGCTGCTTCCAAGTGCCTATTGGAGGCAGTCTAGAAACCCTGCAAGTAAGTTGTTTCTCTGCAGTTGGAAGCATGCAGTCTCTAGTTTGACATCGATTTTGGGTTTAAAATGGAGCTCTGAGAAACTGTAGTCTTAATCTAAAACTATGTGCTTAAAGCTGTCTACTTCAGACATGCTACATACACTGTGGGAGCAGCCACGTAGGGAATGCATGTCTGGCTGACAGCTTTCCTTAGAGTACTTTGTATTTGCAGGGACTACTCCATAGTTTGGTCTTGTAAATGTGTGTTTTTTGTTTCAGTCTAAGTGCAGGGCAGATAAGAGAGGATGACCAAATTTGCTCTGCTGCCTGATTACCCTAAGATGTTTCTTGGCTTGTGTTGGAGGATGTTTATTTGCTTAAAGCAAACTATACCCATGTCTAGTTTTTTGTTTCTTTAAGACTTAGGGAGACTTCATTTAAGACTTAGGAGACTTCATTTACCATGTCTGACAAAGCTGAAGCTTTCATTCATTCCATCTGCAAATTCCTGGGAGACTTGTTCCTTTGAATTTATTATCACTTTAAGTTGAAGGAGTCTCTGACATAAGTACAAAATGCAGACAGATAATTAGGTTTCTTCTGGGACCAAGCAGAATTGTCCTGGAGCAGTGCTGGTTTTCACTGTCATACATTAAGGTCCTTCCTGCTATTGGCAAGATCTGTTCCTGGCTGAACACTGCCAGATTGCTTGTGAGAGACACAGAACAGCTTGAGTGTAGTTTGGCTTTTCACAGAAGTGCTCTCAAATCAGGTATTTTATTGATAGTGTATTTCAGTATTAGACAGGGCTCCTGAAACTCTAGCCATATTTTGAGGTTAGTGTCTGAAAGCTTGTGCCTCTGCAGAGTAGGGGCAGACAAGGAGCAGTCATTCAGCAATTCCAGCTGAACATCTGCTCACTGGGGTTTCCTGGCACTGGAGGGTTATGCATCTGTTTGTGTGGGTGGCTGAAGCTCTGGTAAACTTTGTGGTATGTTACTGTTCAGAACTCAAATAATTCTGCACCGTTTGCCTTCTGGCAGCCTTCCTAGCACAGCTTCCCAAGGGTTAATCTGCAGTGTATCCTCTGCAGTTTTGGGGTGGAGCATTTCTTGGATGAGTGGAGTTAGAGGCAGCTCCATTTCCTGCAGCACAGTGTGCCACCACCCATTTCTCTGGAAAAAAAACCCATGCAACAGGAAAGCTGGAGCAGCCTTTGCTCCAGGGGGTTCAGAAACAAAAGGTGGTGAGGACCCCATGGAGCAGCCAGCCTGTACTAGATACCTGGGCAAGCCAGAATTACTGACAGCCTGGTTACTCCCAGTAAATGATGACAGCAAGAAACACAAGGACTGGTAGACTGGCACTTCCCAAGGCCAGGAATTATCTCAGATCTCCTCTCCTAGCTCAGCAGTCTTAGTGAATAGAGACTTCTGGAGCTGGCTGGCACTACTGTCCTGTTCTGGAAAGCAGGCTGTTCTAACACATTGCTTCCTTCCTAAACCAATACTTGTCCCTCAAATAACTCTATTATTTTCAAGAGTCTGTGATCATATGTTGCTGTTTGCAAAACACTCCAGTACCAGTAACAATGACTGCATTGAAATGTCTCTAATTGGTCTGGTTTCATCTTGGCTTTTTCTTAGATTCCTCCTCGTTCAGAATGGATTACAGGCTAATTTAGCACAAATGATATGCTACATAATTTGAGTTTAGAAAAGCAATTTTTGCTTTTAAAGGCAAATGATAGCCTCCAAGCTGAGACTTTGTATTAAGGGGAGGATCCTGAGTTGCTGCATTTAATTTCTAGCCTAGTGTTTGCTAAACCTTAGCCATAGAAAGAAATTCTTTGGGAAGACTGGACTATTACAAGGATTTGCTAGAAATAAAGCTTACTAAATTAGTGATTCATGGTTACCTGAAGGTGGTGCTGGGAAAGCTAACAACTGGTGACTTTGTTGTTGTATTTTTGGCACTGTAAAAAGCCTCTGGGACTTGGAGCCTAGAAAGTCTTTGCAACATTTCGCAGCCCTACAGAAATGATGGAAGAAGATTCCCAGTTCTCAGGGCCAGGAGGTTGTACCCATGTAATCTCTGTCACCTTACAGCCCAACTAGAAGTGCTGATCCAGTCTTTGTTCAGTGTAATGTCAACTGTAGAATGATGTCTTAAAGCAAAGGAGCTAAGATCCAATGACAGAATGAAGGATTTGGGATGGAAAGAAGCCAATACAGATGAAAGCATGTGGCAGTATAGGCCAGCTGTGAGCAGGTTTCTGGTTGTCTGATCCTGGCCTTGGAGACAATATCTGCTTTAGCCACCACCACTGGTGATCTTGTGTACCTAGTGCAGTGTCTAAAAGAGGAATCCATACAATCAGAGTGCTGGGAGCACCCAAAGCAGGAAGCTCAGAAAGCAGGAGCTCACTCAAGGAGGAGTGGACGATTGAAAACAATGACTCTGTAAACCTTGGAGCTTTGTGTTGGCTTGTGGTCACCTGTGAAGGCGTGTCTGTGTCTGTTGGTTACTTTGCCTATGGTTGGTTTCTTTTTTTCAGATTGAGAGTCTCCCACCAGAGCTGTTCCAGTGCAGGAAGCTGAGAACCTTGAACCTGGGAAACAACGTGCTGCAGTCCCTGCCCTCCCGGGTGGGAGAGCTGACCAATCTGTCGCAGATAGAGCTGCGGGGGAACCGCCTGGAGTGCTTGCCCGTGGAGCTGGGAGAGTGCCCGCTGCTGAAACGCAGTGGGCTCGTGGTGGAGGAGGACCTGTTCAACACCCTGCCCCTGGAAGTCAAAGAGCGCCTGTGGAGGGCAGACAAAGAGCAAGCGTGAACCCCTGAGAAAAGGGGAAAGCCTCTGATCAACTAGAAGGAAGCAAAAGGCCGTTTCAGTCCCCTTTCACCCAGATGCTCCCCTTTCTCCACTCCAATCACTATCAAACTGGCCAAGGAGTACTTGACAAACATGACTCTGAATGAGTCAGCTTCTTGCCTCAGATGCAGGATGGGGGAGGCTTGGGATCAGGATGAGGATCAAGACAGATTAATGGCCTCTGAGCAGGGCCCAGGGGGAATTAGAGGTGTTGCTGTTCTTCTGGACAGGAATTGGGGTGAGGTGGATGGTGCTGGTGAGAAGAAATGACCTTTGAACGGAGGAGAAAATGAATGTGGGGATTGCTGCATTACTCCTAATAGGGCTTATATGTGTCAGGGACTGAGGGAGTCCAGTGTCCTGCAAGCAAAGATCAAGAGACAAGGAAACCTCTTGAACCTCCATCTCTGTGACAGCTGATGCTGCTCCCCAGATTCAGTCAGTGAGCCCCCAGACTGGGGTGGGATAGGACACAGACAGCTGATTTTATCTAGATGCTGGCATTAGGATTTGGGAGATAAACATCTTGCAGCTGCTTGAAGGCAGAATTTTTTTTTTTACTAATTTTCTTTCCTCTTTGCACACTCCCCACCTTCTCCTCTGCCCCTGGAGAAGGAACCAAACCTTTAAGATTGCACTACTGTAACGGTTTCAAGTCACTTGTTTGGGTGAGTAGGTCACAGCATTCTTCTCAACCTGATGTCCTGGAGGCACTAACTGCCACAGTTCCAGAGCTTTAGCCTGTTCTGAAATGGATGGTTATAGTGCAGGTGGGAGATCTGGATAAAAAGCAGTTGGACTGTCCAGTCTGCTCTCTCAGAAGCATTGAGTTGCTTCTGGCTTTTAGTTCCAAGTTGCTTTTTAATTGCTGATATTTTGTTGCATATCAAGTAGAATTGTAAAACTGGCCAGTGTGTCAGGGGCTCTCATGGGGTTGGAGAGGAAATTTGGGTTTCCTCTGCACCTCTTGTCCCCCATTCTGCCTTCCCCCAAAATTAAATTGTTGAATTAAGTTGTTCAGTGCTCTGCCAGTGTTTTTCGTGGACGCAGTCTGGAGAGCTGCTTGATTGTTCTCTTCTGTTGTTCCCCTCACTTTAACAGCTGTCAGTTCCTGTTACACCTCTTGACCTAAATAAGAGGCTAATGCTGATTGAACCTGGTGCTGGAAAAGAAATCTTGTCCTCTTGTTTGTTCATTACCTTTTCATTCCCTCAGTGTTGAGGAGAATGAGAATCCTCTGTGAACTGAGCTCTTCTGACTTCCTGAAACAGAGCAGCATTTACTGAAACAAGTTTGACCTGTTTGGTGGTATTTGTCAAAAAGCCCCTCAACCTTCTGGGCTGGCAGAGGTAGATAATGTGTAGCAGTTACTGATTATCGTGTCCTTAAGGTGGGGTGGTTAAGATGCCTCTGGGACACAAAGGTCTTTTTCCATCAGAAGGAAGAGGAGGTGCCTGGACCTACAGGTCTTGGTTGTAATATTCTGCATCAGACCAACAGGTCAGCTCCAAGGTGCAGTGCTGCAAGCTGGAGCATGAGAAGTTTGGAGACCTCGCTTGTGTACAAAGGGGGAAGCTACATCCAGCTCCAGAGGGAATCCTGACAATCTGCCAGAGAGTGCCCTGGCTTATCACCTGGCTTGTGGTGATCCCGTGGATGGTGGGGCAATAAGGCACGGTGTGGCTCTCTTCATCAGATGTAAGATATGAAATATATATATACTAAATATGCTGAAACCATGAACAATGTTAACTGGACTCTGGATTTATTGATGTTCAGATGCTTAAATAAAGCTACATTAAAATCAGGAGATCTGTTTATAAAACTGCTTTTAAGAAAAATGTAAATCTTGCTTCCCTTAGTCCATTCATTATAAAGCGTCTAAACAGTCCAGGGGATAATATAATTAAATCTCCATCTGGGAGGCAAGGTACTGTAAAAGCTTTTCTGGCTTCTAATAGGGTTAGTGTCTTGAAATTGTGTTAGAGCTGGGGCCACAGCTGAAAGGATGGGGAAGGATTGATGCTGATTGGATTGTACTTGTATTTGCCCCAGCATTTCGGATTACAGAAAGGACAGAAATTGTTAGGTGGGCTTTGTTTCCTGAGTAAAGCAGGAATGGCTTCAGGCTTAGCTACAGAAATGCTGTTTTCCAGTCAGTTCCCTGTGGTGGATGTGGGGGCTGTTTGGATGGTGAAGGAAGCTTTTTTAACTTAGTCTGTGCTAAAAGATAGCACTGGAGAATAATGGCCACTGAATGGAGATGTGAACTCTGCTATTCAAGGCCACTGGGTGACTGTTTTATTGCTCATGTATTTTAGACCATGAAGGGCTGAAGGGCAAAGCAGTTCCTGGGAGTTTCACCTGGCTCACAGGAGCAGTGAGATGTCTCCAGGATGTCTAGATTGGAGATGAGTGCTTTGACTCTTGATTCCAGGTGTGGTTTTAATTATACAATCTAAACTTTGCACAGCTGGGTTAGAGTTTCTATAAGCAGCTCCTGAAAGTATGCTGCAGTGCTTCTAGAAGTGTGGAAGCCTCCTGAACAGCTCTGTATCCCAGCAGGATGGGTGAACAACAGGCTGTTCTGCCAGAAGAGAGGGACTATCTTCAACTCCTGACCAAGTCACAGTGCTGTGCTCCTGCTGCTTCTTGAGTAGAGGCTGCCCTGGGCCTGAGGTGTGCAAAGCAATTGTAAGACAAGCTGGTAATTGATCATGCATGAAAATGCCAGCTTTCTGCTGCTTTTGCAATAGTCCAAGCAAACTCTTTTGGTTTAGGCTGCTAGGGCTTGAGACCTCCCTGTGTGCCAGAATGGGGATGAGCAGTCTGATAATGTTTTGTACTGGAAATGCAGGTGCCACAAATACATTGTCACTCTGATAGACAGCAACATGCATTATTTACTTCTGACATGTGCTGCTTGGTCTCTCTTTTGATCCCAGAGTATCAGTCTTGTATGATGAGATGGAAAAAGCTTTAAAACTTCCAAGGATAGGATCTAGATCATGAGTCCTGAACATGTTTATGACTGAGGACTGCTGCAAAACTCAACCCACAGCAGAGCAAGTAACTTCCCAAATTTTTTCTGGATTGCTCAAATTTTTCTGTCAGGGATGTCCTTACATCAACAATCCATTCTCACTTGCAAGTATTCAAACCATGAATATTGTGTATTTTCCTTCAAGTTTCCATCAGACTGAAGCTTAGGGGGTTTATTTCTGACAAAGATTGGTGCATTCACAAAAAGCATTCAGTTTAAGTAGACAGTCACTGCCCTGGTCAGTGTCTTGTTCTCCTGACAAGCTGTTCAAAACAGAAGCAAACCAGATTATTTACTAGCTGCTAAAGCAATACAGCAACTTGAATTAAACCCACCTGTTTCCTTAATAGCACTTCTGAGCTGAACGAGTTCTTGGAGATCACAATGATGCTCATCCCATGTTAGGATTGAAGGTTAGTGACATGCACTTTACCTTTCCTGCTAAATACCCCAAAAAGTGATAAATTGCAATTATTTTGAACCAGCTGAAAGGCAAGGAATACAAAACCTATTAAATGTGTAAAATTGTGCTGTACCCTGACACTATGCACTGGAATGTTAGTTGAAGTTGATCTGTGTTTCAGATTACTTTCTGATTTTGTTATTTGATCCCCAGTTAATTTAGCAGCTGGAAGTAATTTACTCTGTCAGTCTGAGTGGTTAAATAGCTGTTACAGATATCTTTCATGATGTGCTGTTCTTTCATATTAATTGTCACTTCTTTTTAATAGCCTACCTCATTTTTAATTATTTTTCTTATTACCATTTATACACTCCATTTAGCTCACTCCATTTTAATTAAAGTTCTTGGTGTTCATTACTGTAAGTAGTATTAAGTGGCTTTCTGTTGCTGAACCACATGAAGTCCTCGTCTTTTTTTTTTTTTTTTTTCCTCTTAAACAATTGATTCCAGGAATTTTGAGAACAATAACACACATCCTTTACAGAGGATGAGTTGTCTGGAAAAAAAGTTTCAAATTTTATTGATTCCTAGGCTGTGACATTGTTTCCTTTTCTTACCTCTTTTCCTGCTTTAGAATGGAACTCACATGGTTGGAATTCCTTGGATTTTTAAATGTTTTTTCAGTCCTCCTTCAAGGGAAGAGTAACTTTTTCCCCCCTCATCAATAGCTGTGCCTTCTCTATAGATCTGTTAATGTAATCTCCCCAGAGGCACTTGCTCCCTGGAGTGTATTTGTAGCAGTGCCTGCCTGAAGCCAACTCATCCCTTGGATTCTTTTTCTTTTAACCATGGAGAGATTTCCTAACTTCTGGGGTGATTTCTCACTGCCAGACAACACTGTCATACTGTAAGCAGAGTCACCTGCTCTGGAGGTCACCTAAGGTAAGGCTGTGGGGATGCTGACTAGGAAAATTATTGCTTAGACTTCACTTTTAAAGTTTTTCTTCCATTTTAACTGTTTGGCCACAGTGGATAATGTACTTTTCCCAAGCATGTGCCAAAAGTGAATGAGTTTTCTGTCCTACCTCATTCTAACAGTGTACAAAGCACAACTGGAGTGAGGCAGGATTATTCAAGTTTGATTCAGACCCTTCTCCTTCCAGCTGTGGCAATGGATTAATATTAAACTGCTTTGGGAGTCTGAAATCCTCCAGAAATCTCATAACCAAAATCCAGTTTCAAAAGTAGCAGCACTTGAATTGCTGGACCCCAGTGGCAAAGGTCAACTTCGTGTGAGTTCACACAAAGGATTAATTTAGGATTCCTGGAATTTTCCATCCCTTCCTCCATTTCCTTTAAAGGAATTTTATTTGACAATGGAAGAGTTTTTCTGGAGGAGGCTTAATGAGAAGGGGGCTACTGAGCCTGAGTCATCTTTACAGTTGACAAATGTGTCCATTTCAATAAGTCACTACTCATGGCTTAAACATGCTTCACTCCCATTGTGTAAATGCACAAGCAGGGCTGTGGTTTGGCATCTGGGACCTGCAACTTGGTGTAGCATTTCAGAATCATGACATTCACTTTGTACGTGGGATTGTTTGGGCAGCTGAGCAACAGCACCTTCCCCGTGAGCACTGAAGGCTGCTCTTGTTTGCTCTGAAGGACTTGTACAACTGGACACTTCACCAGAATAAAAGTTTTAATTTGCATTTTCTTTTTCTGTCTGGGTTCTTTGGTGTTTCCTGTCTACGAAGGCATTCAGCCTTCCACGATGTCATTTTTCAAAAGACAGATGTTAATAATTCCAGCTATTGTGTAGGATTATGGGGTTCTTTTACTCATGACAAAAGTCCCAGTGGATTATGACAATCCTCTATGAATTAAGTAGATGTATAGAGAAAGAGGTGCTGCTCTTGTGACAAGCTGTTTCACAGGTTTCACTATCACTTTACAAGTGTCCAAAACAGTTTCTGTTGCTGAATTTATGGCTGTTGCCATAGGAATTGTCTTCAGACTGGTAAATTATTTCAGTACCTGCTTTCCCCATGGGCTCCTTAACTGGAAATGCTGCAGACAGTGTCTTTCCCAATTCATGGAGTGTTACAGAGAATCAGGCTGTGACTTGCAAAGAAAATTTGAGTTTCTGTGCAGCTCTTTTATTGTGTAGAAAGGTGTTTCTCTTGAGTTTTTCCTTCCCTCACTTCCTTTGTCTGTGTCTACTTGACCACAGTGACATTGGCCCCACTTCAGACAGACAATGTAAGCAGGCGTTGAAACAGGTGAGTGGGAGCTTGTAATGCTGCTGATTGATGAGTTTTAATGAAATGCAGGACTGAACCAAAAAAGGAGAGGACAAAATGTCCCTTGTCATCTAAGGCTTACCTGGACCTCAGCTTCTTTTGGCTGGTTTACCTTTTGGAGGACTTACCTGGTCTCTGAGGAGCTGAGGCAATCATTCTTCCTTTACTCCTTGTATTCATTAAATATTCTCTCACTTGTTGCTGATCAAAGACTGCAGGAGAGGTGAAGTGGTCCAGTGGAAAATTTTCCTCCTTGATAACCCTGGCAGCTCCACAGCAGCAGTTTTGGTACAAGTGCTGAGCTGCTTGAGCTGGCTTGGCTCCAAATGGCTTCAATGGGAGCCCTTATTGGGATAATCGTGCCAGTCCAAAAGGCATTTGGAACACTTGATCTGCACCTTTCCTGCAGACATGGGCTGGGCTTTGGCAGCCTCCAATGGAGCTTGCCAGAAGTTTTCTTGCAGAGCTGGCAGGAGAAAATGTTGAGTTTGCAAAAAGAGTTCTTGGAGGGGGAGGAAGGGAAGGAAAAGGAGCCATTTCCCAGTTTTGTCTAAGTACTGTCAACCTTTCTGTGTGAACTTATGGGGAGAGAAGGCTTTACAATGGTGGCATCCTTCTCTTTGACTTTTTTTGGGCATTGTGTGGCCAGAGTGGTTTTCCTCTTGCTGGAAAGGTCTTTCTGAGCCTCAAAATAGGGGCATGGCTGGAGTGGCAAAGAATGGGAGGACTCCTGAGGACAGACATGGAAAGCTAGAACCAGGATGGGTTTTATCTCCTGGTAGCTGCTGCATTGTTTGCTGTGATCTGCTGTTTATATTGCTCAAAACATTCCATGGACCAGGAAAACTGTGGTTTGCTGCTGTGGCACGAACCAAAACAGCCTCTGGAGTCATGGTGTGTGTGTAAGGTGGGGAGTGGAGAAGGTGACGTGATAAATTGCCGGTAAAAACCACCGTGTGTGGGAATGAGAAGGACGTGACACGACAGTGACGGAGAGGGACTAAGGAGTGGTGTGGGAGTGTTTTCCAGGAATGTTTCTCCAGGATTGCTGCCTCCTGGGGAGGGGTGAGGTGGGTCACACAATCAACTTGCAGGCAACAATCTACAGCTGGTTTTTTTCCCCATTGGTCATGCATCTTCCTTAAAAACTTTTCCACTCCATCAGTTGGTGAGAGTGTTAATATTCCAGTAGTCCTTCCCTCTTTTTTTTTGAGCTTTGTAGCATTGGAGACTGATTTTTGGTTTTTTCCTCCTCCAGGTTTGTAGTCCAGTGATTAGAGTCTCTGGCAGAATTTAGCTTTTTAAACTACTGAATTCATATCCTCCTGTGTACTGGGTAAAGCCTGAAAAAAGTTAAACCCCTAATTTCCTCTTTAGTAAAAAAAAAAAAAGTTTTAGTAAGGTGCAGAGTGATTTTGTCCACAATTCCCTTACAGAATAGAAAACTTAATTTTTTCAGACAACCTCTCTTTAAATGGATTTTCAGTTGCTAGGATGTAAACACTTTCCTGTGAGCATTTTGCATTCCTTCCTTTTGCTGGGTTTTCCTTTGGCTGGGTGAGTGATGCAAGAACACGCCCCCGCGGTGTTATTTTTGTGAAGTGCTGCTCAAGGGTGTTTTCGGTGTTTCCTCTAGGAGCCAAACACGTTTTCTCCTAGAGAGGAAAACCTTCCCCAGGGATTCCCGATGGGAGGGATGTGTTGGCTGGGAGCGCCACCGCTGGGCTGGCAACTGTTCCTCCCTCTGCCTTTTAGACCCACTTTCTGCATTTTGCTCTCTGGTTTGAACTTAGAGTGGATTTGGCTTTACTTATTTGTAAATATTACATGGACTTCTGGAGCTGCAGGAGAGTGAACAGAGCGAGTGAAGGTGTAAATTATCAAAAAGCAGCTGTGAATGAAAATAGCAGAAGTATTCCCTATGGGTTTTACTAAACCCATACTTTTACTAAAGCTCTTTACCACATTTTAGTCTGTTTGTCACCTCCTGGGCTGGGGAGCCCTTTCAGGGGATATGCTGAAGTGCTGGCAGGACTCACTGACTAAGCAAAAAGGGCTCTGTAAGACCTTGAATCAGTACTTTAAACTTGTTCTAAGACATCTTGATCTTTTCTTCACACTTGACTCTTATTTTAACCCCCTTTATCTTTCTTACTCCTGTGATTACCAGTTTAACTGCCCTATTTTTAAATCTGGGTTATTAATTAAAAGTGATTCCTCCTTGGAGCTCAGCTGTTCATCAAGTCTGTGATTGCACTTGAATAGAAAAATTTTGTGTGCTTTGTAACCACCAAGAGCCAAAGCAGTACTGTGCAGTCCTGAATGTCCCAGCAAAGAACTGGCAACGGGGACAAAAATCTTTGAGCTGTGCAAGAGTCCAACTGCCCAGCGCTGGCTTTATCACATGCTGGGACAAGGATCACGTGGAGAGGCGGGGAGCCAGCCCTGCAGAGCCCAGGTGGCACCGAGGTGCTGGTGCTGGGAGCTTCTGCCCTGATGGCATCCGTAAGCCAGCAGCAGATCCAGAAGGTAAGGAGCTGCTCTGCAGGGAGGGAGCGTGTCCAGAGGGCAGGCAGTGACACGGTGTGTGAGATACAGTCACTGCTGGTTAACCTGGCAGCAGGTCTAGCCAAGATCTGCTTTACAAACACTTTATATTCTCCTCAGCTTCTTGTATCACATTAATTTTAGTGTGTGAGTGTCATGGCTACAAACTCTTGCGGGGGCAGCTTGTCCCACAGAGCTCTTGGAGGGATTTCTCCTGTGCCCCTTCTGTCTGTGTTGCTCAGCTCTCATCCCTGAACTCGAAATCTTCCTGGCAAAGGATAATCTCCAGGGTATTCTATATAAAGAAACTGAGTTCACTGCCAACAGAGTTCATTTTGTGAAGGATTGTGTAGTGAACTGTGAGATATCACCCAGGGATTTTTTTTTTTTTTTTCCTTAGAGAGAACAAAGTTTTCCAGCTTGTAAAGGAATCTCATTCTGATTTGGCACACAGGCACGACTGCCCTGTTTGTGTTAGTGTGCTTGGTAGTTTAATAGCTGCTGGTTACAGGCATTAGATAAGATATCCTTGAACCACAAAAGGCTCTAGTGATGAGATCTCTGTTTTGTGTAGACTGAGGGATTGAAATAGATTGTTCTTAACTGTTTGGAATTTCAGCCTCTTAATTAATCTTTTGCAACAGAAACCCGTCTTGAAATTAAAAATTAAGAACATGCTGCCTGGCTGCAGAGCTGGGGCTGGGATGCTTTGCACCCCCTAAAGGGCCAGAGCTGCTTTCTCTTGCTTTGTGCTGCTTCCCCGGGGGAAGAGCAGTCACCCCGTCTCTTCCAGTTCCACAAGGATGGCTTCCTTGTCCTGGAGCAGTTTTTCAGCGCAGAGGAGTGTGACAGCATGAGGAGGCAGATCCAGAGGATCGTGGCGGAGATGGAAGTGCCGCCGCACTGCCGCACCGCCTTCTCCACCAGGGAGGAGGAGCAGCTCCGCGAGCAGGTACCGAGAAGGGCAGGGCTGGCCAGAGGAGGGGAAAAGGCAAATTGCTGATCAGGGTTCGCTCTGGGGGAACATGACTGTTCCTTCTAACTGAACATAACACCGGGAGAGGAATTTGCTCTTCAGCTTTCTGCAAATGTTTGCTGGGGTCTTATCAAGAGTCTTATCAATGTGTGGCTCTGCCGTGCTTTCAACCCCCCGTAGCCACAAGCAGCTCTCACAGATCACTTTGTACATGTTCTGCCGGCAGAAAATGCTTATTTTCCAGGCAGCTAGCAAAAGAAAAGCGAGGGTTACCTCTGTGTGAGAGGTTCTTGTAAAGCCCTGATCGGCACAAGGACATGTAGTGTTGTGGAAAGCCTTTTCATGAGTGATTTTTTCACTGTGTTTTGTTCATGCTGCGGCTTGGTGGGAAAAAGATGCAGGTGAGTGTTAATGCTTTGATTGAAAGGACATTTATGTTTTTACAAGGATGCTGTCTTTACTGGGCTCTTATCCCTGCAGGGTAGCTCAGATTATTTCCTAACCAGTGGAGACAAGATTAGATTCTTCTTTGAGAAAGGTGTTTTGGATGAGAAAGGTAAGCCCTACAATGAGTTAGCTACACAGAGGGGATGGAAAAAGGCTGAGTGAGGGATCAGGGGCCAGTTTCCAGATCAAGGAATGATTCCTGCTTTTCAAACAATGTTAAATTATGGTTTTGTTTTGTAGGTGACTTTCTACTTCCAAAGGAGAAGTCTGTCAGCAAGATTGGCCATGGTATGTTTAAAGGATGGGGTTTGGAGAGGGATAGGCAAAAGAGATGTGATTTTCAGACATGAGGATTTCTCTAGACCTACTCACTGTACATAACTGTCTCTGCAATTCTCTTCATGCTGCCCCTCACTCTCTGCTCTCAGAGGACTGGACCTTCTGTTCCAATCCTTTTCAAAAACCTCTTCTCAGAGGTTCTTCAGTGATGAATAGCTGAGAGTCACTGACATGCAAAAGTTTGGACTTCAGCCCTTGGCTCTTTTATGTAACAGATTTGCTCTAAAAATTTACCACCTGATACTGGTGGCATTCAGTACAGACCAAACTCCTATGTCCTGTGCCTGCCGTGCTGGGTTGCTGATATTGAAGCTGCCCTCCCTCCTGTGGTGTCACCACCATCTTTTCTTTACCCTTACTGCTCTGTTTGACCTATTTCTTCTCTCTCAGTTCCTGGATTAGCATTTTGATCCCTTTTGTTTTCCAACAATACATGGAAAATGAGAGCAGGATTCCCTGTGCCTGCAAATGTGAACTTTGCTCAGACTGAACTTCACTACAGTTGGAAATTCAGTACTAAGAGTTCTTGTTCTTTGTTTTTCTCAGCAAAACACTCTCCTCTTCCCAGGCCTGCTGCCATTCTGTCACACTTCAGCTCTTCCTCAGGGGAAGTGAAAACAACTGTGAATTCCTGCTGACCCAGCAACTTAACAATTCAAAAGCCTACTCTAGTATTATTTTCTGTAATTACTCATTTTGGTCAAGTCTCATCCCTTGCCTGACAGCAGCTCCTGCTGGACTTGTCCTCGTGGCAAATCTGATCAGGATGAGCTGGAGGCACAACTCTGAGTCTGCTTTGTGGATTTGTCAGAGCTGGGTTGTAGTAAGAGTCTACACAAACACTCTGACCTGCTGCCTGGGCTCTCTGAAGGGCACCAAAGATGAGCTACAGCTCCTTTTTGCAGTACTTCACTTTTTTGGTAGGTCTTAAGAGGTGTGTTTTTAAAGGATGAATTCACGCAAATGCCTCAGGGTCATGTGTAATGGTTGTCACTTGTATAATATTATACTGAATCACAGAATATTCCACTTTGTTCACTCTGTACCCTGGCTTTTATGTGTGTGCAGCTTGTGGCCAGAGAGTGATTATATTTATGGTCTTTAATGATGATTGTACAACCTGTAAGTGTCCTATCACCTTATGTGTGATGAGTCACATTTATCCATCTTGGGAGGGATGAAAGTTTCTGGCTGCAATTTATCCTGCTTGGCTGTGGTGTCTGCAGCTCATCACTGAGAGCTGTTCCCTTCTCTTTCTGAAATCTTGTCTGAGCTTTTTCTTTCCCCTTAGCTCTACATGCTTATGATCCTGTCTTCAAGCAAATCACCCACTCCCCCAAGGTGCAGGTGAGTTGTTACTGCTTCCTAGAATGGTCTTGGGGAAAAAAAAATAAATTGCAGAGTAGTTAATTTTTGTTTTCTACACTCCCAGGGGGAGTCATTTTGTCAGTGAAAGGAAATGTAAATATCTTCAAAGAATAATGTTAAATAGTGTGCAGAGAACATAAATATTGGAAATTTTCTTGCAGGAACTGGGAAGAAAACTAGGCCTTGAGAGACCAGTAGTTGTGCAGAGCATGTATATCTTCAAGGTACAGTAATTAAAGTTGTCTTGCCACTCAAGAAATAAGACCCTGTTAAGTGGGAAGCTGTGAAATTCTTCACACATCACTTTTTTTTTTCTTTGCAGCAACCTGGCATTGGTGGTGAAGGTGAGATTTGTGTTACCTCTATATCACACTACAGATAATGCTCCTTTAGGAAAGGAATATTACCAGGGAAAAGGCTCAGAATCAGACTTAAACCTGTGAGTTTGGCAGTCCAAACCTTCTTAAAATAATCTTTGAAATCCACATTTTTTTCTGAAAAGCTTCTACATCATATGCAGCTTGAACAAAGAGCTATTTTTACATTTGCAGCAGGCTAAAAGGTGGTATTTTTATGTAAGATTTAATGTGTGTGATAGGTGGGTGGGCAGGGGAGGGCTCTGAGTCAGGGAGATGCAACCCTGAAGTCCTTCTGGAGGAACTGAATCCCATTACAGACCCCAATGACAGTCTTTTCTTGCAGTGACACCACACCAGGATGCCACTTTCCTGCACACAGAGCCCCTGGGCAGGATCCTGGGGTTCTGGATTGCTCTGGAAGATGCCACACAGGAGAATGGCTGTTTGTGGTTCATCCCTGGCTCTCACACCAGTAAGAGCATGTGTGTGACCACTGCTGGTCACTAGCACAGGTCTGCTTTTCCTCCCCTCTAGAGCACACTAAAGGGCAGCTTTAAACTTCTGCTCACCTAAACATTCACTCAGTGAGTGTAATCATAATGATCTTCAGATTTTAAGCTACTCATTCCTCAAATCCTGGAGCCAGCTGTACTCGTATCATGGTTTATCATCCTATAGAAAGCACAAATGGACCAAAGGTTGGTTTTGCATAAGTGTGTGAATATTTGTGTTCCTGAGGGTCTGTTGCAATGCACAGAAGGGTCACAAAAGGCAAAAAAAAAAAAAAAAGAAAAAAAAAAAGAAAAAAAAGGCAGCTCTTGTCTGTTTCTGCCACAGTTGGAAAATCCTAAATCTCTACTTAATGAAAAAGATCCCACCCAAATTACTAAGGAAAGTGTGACTATAGTAATAATAAAGTTCCTATCACTGCCAAGAGAAATCACTGATATTGTTCCTTTGCTGTGCAGAATGTAGCCAGGTGTTTAATTTTTGTGTGTTTGCTTATTCTGTGGATTTGCAGATGGGATTTCCAGGAGGATGGTCCGTGCAGCTTCAGGTGCCTCAACATGTGTGGAGTTTGTGGGCTCAGAGCCAGCCTACGATGACAAGCAGTTCATACCCCTGCCCATAAGTAAAGGTACAAACAGCCCCAAACATGGCACTTCACAGCTCAAGAAAACACAAGGGAACTAAAATCTTATTTTAACCCTGCACCTTCCCTCCCACTGCAAAGCCAGAGCTGATCTTGTGGAAAACAGCAGTCCAGGTGATTCTTTCCCACAGGTGGACTCATCCTCATCCACGGCGAGGTTGTCCATAAGAGTGAACTCAACAGCTCGGACTCTTCTCGCCACGCGTTCACCTTCCACGTGATGGAAGCCAAAGGCACCACCTGGAGCAAGGAGAACTGGTAAGGTTGTGATCCTCACCAGCGGCTGAGGAAATGGAAGCCTTCCCAGTGCAATAGTCAGGATAACTCTTGGGGGTCTTGCCTGTACAGTTTGTTGGTAGCGCCTCAGCTGGCATTGATTTCGTGCCTGCAGAACTGGAATAGCCTCTGAAGTTTTGCTTTTTCCTCTTCTTTGCTCCCTAGGCTCCAGCCAACTCCTGAACTGCCTTTTCCATCGCTCTACACTTGAAATTAGTGACTGGCTTGTGGAGCCAATAGCCGATCAATATTCCTTTCTGATTGTTCATTCATGGTGTCTTTAAAAACAACCTTCACTCGATCAGCTCTCAGTGTTAATTTATCCTCCTCCTCGAAACCAGGACCATTATCACAGCCCAAAACTGCAGTACACAGAAGCTTCTACTGCAGCAGGAGCCCTGCCAGTATGAGAGTAGTCACCCAGTCCTTTTGGTAAGGAAACACCTTCAGTCTTGAAAACAAACCAGTTAAGACCATTGCACCTTGACTGGGACCACTTACCAAGTATTTCTCCTGCAGATACTCAGTATTTTCTTGTGTTTAAGAGCTTAAGTGCATTTCTGGACTGTTTGACTCCAGCAATGCAAGTGAACATGTTGTGGGGAGAAGTTTGATTTTCATCCCTAGTTTTCTGTCTTATTGTTGGAATAACAGTGATTTAAAACAATCTTCTTGTGGGTGAAATGAAGCAAAAGGTCTGCTTTTTATAGTCAGTCTTCTAAATACTCCTGGCAGACAGTAGCTGTTTTCTCTCTGAGTGTGATTAAAAATACAACAATTTTTAAAGATTCATGTTGAAATGATGGAAACAAAGAACCTCAATCAAACTCTTTACAGTTAAATAAAAAAATAGAAATTCTTCTTTTCATCTGCATCATCTTTTCTTTGAGGAAGACACAGTGGGACCTTTTTCCAACAGATGGGGACAGTGCTAAATTGTCTGGTGAGCAGCTGGAACTCTCAATATGCACATGAATAATTTCTATCCCCAAAACAACTTATACCAAGGAATCTTTGGAAATGCAAGCTCCAATCTGTACCTGAACTGAACAGAAGCTGTGCTTTCACTGGCACTGGTGCAGTGGCAACCCTGAGATAGGAGCCCAATGTCACCAATGCAGGAATTATATCAGAGTAACCCTAAAGCTGCTGAGGGCCGTGGTAGAGTCACCCAAATCTTACTGATTCATCCCTTTCAAAAGCAAATTGGGGAGCTGGGTCATAGCAACAGCAGGAACATTGAATGCAAAGTTTCTGCATTCAAAAACTATCTTTCCTACAGCTGGTTTGAAAGTTGGAAGCAGGGTGGAAGGAAAGCAAATTTCTCTGGTGCAATTTATGACATCAGTGGTGAAGGCTGTGGCTTGTCACAGAAGCAACTTAAGTTTTGTCTGTGTCTTTGCATGAGAGGAGTTAATAATTTAGAATTCTGCAGAGGAGGGATAATTTGTCCTGACTTGCACCACTACCTGTAGTGTGCAAAACCATCTACTTCAAGTGCATAAATTAAAAAAAAGCTGGGTTGATTGGCAGGATTTCCCATTAAATATGAAAGAAACAGCCCAGCAGTTGCTGAGTTGGGCTGCCTACAGAGTATCTGACAATTTACTGTGTTAGTAACCAGCTCTGGCATCCTCAGGAAAAGCAGCACCAAATGCCAGGAGCCCTTCCCAGGCAGGAGGATGAATTGGGCAATGCTGCTTCTCAGCTGTTCCAGTCCTGGCTTGTTGCAGGGACACACAGTATTGGATTCTGGAGCCAATTCTGCTGACTCAGGGACTGGTTTCACTCCACCCCTGGTCTTAGGCTCCCTCCCAAGGCATGGTCTCAGAGCTACAGGCCTGCAGGAGTGTTGTGTAAGGTACCTTGGACTTCCCCCAGACTGTTCCCAAAAGTGAATTAAAAAAGGTCTCAGAGCTACAGGCCTGCAGGACAGTGTTGTGTAAGGTACCTTGGACTTCCCCCAGACTGTTCCCAAAAGTGAATTAAAAAAGGGTCAGAAGTGAACTTCATGATGCAAACTAAAATCCTGGGATGACAATCTCCTGCTTGGAGACAGGAAGGACACTTGTGTTTTGTTCTAATGGACTCTGGGCAAACCAGTGAGAAGAGAATGTTGATACAGAAGGGTTTCATACATAGAAATGAAGTGGGTTTTTTGGCCACAAAATGGTAGTTATAATTGTAATTAAATGGATGGAATTCAGTAGCTTTAGTCAATTTGTTGATAGAAGCATTTTTATACATTATTTGATTAAACATCTGGCTGAAAAAATGGAAAACTAGGAAAGTGTAATAGTAGAAAATTTTATTGACTTCAACAGATTTTCTGCTTTCAGGATTAATGTGTAATTAGTTTTAGCTGTGACTTTGCTTAGGTCTTTTTTTTCACCCCCCCCCCCCCCCCCCAATACTCATTCCAAATTAATTTAGAGATTAAGTCTTGACAAAGATAAAACACTTTTCTTGCTGAAGCAAACTTCAGGGCTAAAGATTCACTGTTATTAGTATGGTCTGGAATGAGCAGTGTCTGACATCCCCAAACCTTCCCCACCCACCCTGGACAACTCAGCTGTGGCAGCTGCTGGTTTTGGAGTTGTGTTTGTGCATTGTGGTGTGGTTTTGGCTCTTGCTGATGAGGACTGGACATAGCTGGACACTTGCACCTGGTTCCTGTGGCCCCCCTCGTTATCAAACATGCTTCACATCGTGCTTATACAGAAATGAGAGTTCACACATCAAACACAAGACGCAGGACTCGGTACAGAAAACAAGGTACAGTACAGAGGTAGCAACATCCTGGAGACTTGCTTGTTCATTTTGTCCTCTCTAATTGACTTACCTCTTCTTCCTCTGCTTCCCTTGGGTACGCAGAAGGAACTTAAATTGGATTATTAAACATAAGTGCTGTTTTTATCAGTCATGCTTGTTGCTGTTAGAACATAAATCTGTCTATTTTCGATGGGTAAAAACAAGACCAAATCAAAACCTTTGTTTTAAATAAGACTTTTTCATTTCTGTTCTCAACAATTTTCTCTGCTGTACCAAAACATCATCTTTGAGCTTTCATTAAAGTGCATTTTCTAGTACCTTTCTCTAGGAAGGGAGAAAACTCTGTTCATGGAAGTGCTTCTATGCCATGAGCATGATCTGGAGGTAGAGAGGCAACAGCAGATTATCGATTTGAGTAGTGTAAGCTTCCAAAAGAGAAACCAAACTCACAGATGCCAGAATCCAGGCATAGCTGGAGTTCAGATTCACACTGCTGTCAAAGATCAGAATGAGAGCCACAGCAATGATCTGGGCAAAAATAGCTGTCATTGTCCCTTCAAAGGTCTTCTTTGTTCCTGGCCATTTGATTTCCCCCAGTGTACTGCCAAAAACAGAGGCAATGGTGTCTCCCACCCCTACTGCCAGCACCCCAGAGTAGGGGACCAGTGCTCCTGCCCCGGGCAAGGTGCCTTTAGGAGCACAAGATCTGGGAAACAACCACACTGGGAGGGACATGCCAAGGAGGAGATAAATATGAGTCAAGATTAGAGGTCCACTGTCTCTTTCGTCCAAGAAGAGAGAGAGCAAATGCCTCAGGGTTTGTCCAAAAGGTTTGATCCTGAAGTAGCGAACGTACTCTAAGAAGATAAACACTGCCAGACACAGCACTGCAGCAACGTAGAGGAGCTGCCGGTCATAAATGAGCCCAGGAACATAAGTAGCTACAACAATGAAGTGGAAATATTTCCTGGTTATAGTCGAGGCCTGGTGTTTTTTAGATTCAGATGATCTCTTAGCATTCTGGTAGAAAACCACCCCGCATGCTAAGGCAGCCAAGAAAGTCCAATACACAATGAGGTAAAGTCTTGTCTGTGTCTGAAACAGAAACTGGAGCAGCCAGAACAAAGGGTTCCTCTGGATCAGTCGGTACAGCCAAGGCATGATGACCCCTAAGCCTAACACTGCTGTCATCATGTGGAAAAACATGGAGGAGATCCATGTGCTCGAATCCATGAAAGTGAAGAGCACAGTGAAAAAAAGACCAAGAAGAACAACTCCGACAACTGCTACCAGAAGGAAGAAGTCAATGGGGTCCCCTCTGCCCTCGATTACATTCAGTGAGCGTTTAATGAGCTGATTGAGAACAAAACTTACACCTCCAAGAACCAGCAGCGCTTCCCCGGGAGTAAAACACCGAGGCAACAGGTACAGCAAGATCATACTGAGGTAGACGAAAATGAGCAGCACTTCCAGAACCTCTATCACTTCCGAGACAGTCAAGGAATGCTTCATGGTGTAGATAATTACGCTGCCAGCAACACCAGTCAGGATGCAAGTGTTGGTCGGCACGGGTTTGGTGATGCCAACCGCCAGGACGGACAGGAAGAGCGCCAGCAGCATTCCCGTGGACGCCACCACGACGCCGAAGCGCTCGAAGTACACGATGCCGGCGGCCCTGCACCTCTCCTTCATCACCACCCCCAGCAGGGGCATGACCATGCTGGCGGGCAGCAGCCCGCTGTTGGCCGCCCCCCGGAACTGGAACACGGCCCCGCCCTGCCGCAGCAGCCGGTCCCATTTGAACTGCACGTAGAAGGCCTGCAGGGCCAAGGCCAGGGCGCACCACGAGAAGCGGTCCCACACCACGGCGTGCACCGACAGCACCGCGCCGAGCACCAGCAGCGACTCCACCAGCACGGCCTTGCAGAACATGATGCCAGCCCAGCCCGCCTCAAGCTTGCAGAATCTCAGGAGGCCTGGTGTGCTCAGCTGTCCATTAGGAAGAATTTCCTTCCGTGCTACTGCAATTCCTATTAAAAAACAGCAAGCAGTTGTTGCCGTCTTGTTGCAAAAGTTCCATACCTTTTTGGTAATTTCTCATGGGCAGCTCCTCGCAGCACTGACTCCTTCTTCACAGCACAGCCAATAAACTCCAGCTCCCCTCTCAACCAGCTAACCCATGATTTTATAGCACTCATCCTCACTGACACAGCTGTGGCCTGTTAAGGGCAGGCCTGTTCCTAATCTTTGGTAATTAGTACAGCTGCAGCTCCTCAGGCGTGGGATTACCTTCTGCACTATCTTTATTTTCTTACATTCTATCCTCCCACAAGCAACTAAAGCAACTACTTGGACAGCTGAAGTGTTTGCACAGCTATTTGGTTCTTAATTTAAACTGACAGTTATGTGCCAATTGCTAATGTCAACACACAGATGAATTTAAAAAAAAAGTGAGATGAGTGAATCCTGCACTTCACCTTCTCTGAGTGAAGGCTCACAGCTCACTGCCAGCTGCCCTGCAAACCAAACTTTCCTTTAAACTTTTGGACTGGAAGATAAGCAGTTGAGATAATCAGCAACAGGTACATTTTCTCTGTTAGGTTAAATCTCATCTTATCTCCTTCAAAGAATTGTGGGCATTGACAACATTGTGCAATTCTCACCAGCATTTGTTGCTTTCTGGCACCCTTGATTTCCCTATGGATATATAATTTGGTAATCAGCCATATGTAAACATCTGCTGTTAGTGGCACCTCTTCTGGGGTCTTTGAAGGTCTCAGGTTCTTTATTTCTGTTGGAAATATTATGGTTGATCCAGCTGTGAAACACAGCCTTACTTTATCCTTTCTGGCCCACCTTTAAGCTGGTTAGCAGCAAAGTCTTACTAAATTCTGCTCCCCAAGTGTCATTGCCAATATCTACACCAGCTCCCTCATGGAAGGCCAGAAGTTTGTTTAAGGTTCTCTTTTGGGTTTTCAGCCAGTGTTGAAAGGTGACACCAGACTACAAAGCTGACAAAGTAACAGCAGTATTACTGAGGAACTATTACAGTTTGTATTGTCAAAATTCCTTAGTGTGCCTGCAGTGTTTAGATATTTATGACTTTGTACTGAAAACTTAATTATTGATAGATTGCTTTTTGGCATCCTTATTCATATATCCTGAAATACTTGATTGCCAAACATCTTCATTACATGCACTGTTGCTACACAGCTCCTTCAGGCCAAATGTAATCTTCTGTCATTGCAATTAATTTTTAAACAGGAGAAGAATTAATCATACAGTCAATAAAAGAGAACTGGTTTGGACAATATCCACCTCCAGCCAATAACAGTTTTTGGGTTGTACTCCCTGCTGTTTCTGAGCACTGTGGGAGGGGGAAGCCTAAGGATTGTTTGAGAAGAAGCAGAGTAAATGCCACCTGCCAACCAAAGACCGAGTGCTCCTCCTCGGTCTGGCAGCCTTAGGATTGCACTGCAGCTCCGGTGCCAATGGATACACTTCCCTGCCAGGCCGGGCAGAATTTCACCCTGCCCGAGCTCTGTGGTGCAGCAGCTCTGAATGTTTAGACCTGACCACCTGCAACGCGATATATTTCACTGCTGAGTTATTTCATTTTCTTGTGCCTGCCCCAATCCCCTCCTCCGCACCTTCTCTCAGGTAATGTGAGGCTCCTCGGCCCCGCCGCTCTCATCCCCGAACGGGACCCAGCACCGTGCGGTTCCCGCCGGACCCAGCGTTTTCTGCTCCGCATCCCGATTGCTCAGGGCAGGGAAGCTTCCCACTGGCGTGCTGTCAAACATCCGGTAGCCCTCGCCTCACTGAAGCCCCCGCCTGCTCCCTCTCTTCCCCAAGCCCCCGCAGCGCTGTGGACGCCCCTCAACCCGCGGGCTGCCCGCGCCCTGTCCTTCTACGCTGCTCGCTGCCGCCTCCTGTCCCCCTCAGCCGCGACACCCACAGCCCAGCCTCCGCTACTGGGAACGACATCCGCCCGCGGGCGCTGTCGGAGGCGCTCCCGGGTGATTCCCGGTTCCAGCGCGAAGCTGCGGCCCCGCCCCGGAGCCCAAGGCGCACCCACCTCGCAGGACGCCGCCATCTTGCCGCGCCGCCTGTCACATGACCCAGCTGTGAGGGCGTGTCGTAGGGGGCGTGGCTTGTGCTGCACCACGTGACGCCGGCGTGGTGGAGGGAGCTAGCCCCTGGTCACGTGACGACGGAGCGAAGATGGCGGCGGGCGGGCTGAGCGCGAGGTGCGGGGCCGGGGCCGCTCGGGCAGAGGGAACGCGGGGGCAGCGTGGGGGAGGCCCCGGCTCTCGCTGCGGGCGGACCCCGCTCCGCGGGACCGGGGGCCGAGAGAGGCCGGCGGGGAGGGGGGCGCAGCGCGGGGCCGGGGAGGTTTTAACTGCGGCGGGGCGCGCGCCGGGCTGGCCCCGCCCCCGCCTCGCGCGCGCGGTGAGGCCCCGCCCCCCCGGCTGGGGACCCTCAGGGACCCTCGGGGACCCTCAGGGACCCCCGGCTCCCGGAGCGGAGTGAGCAGCGGCGGCCGGGATTTCCTGCTTGTTTAGTTCTGTGGTACGAGATGAGAGCTGGGCAGCGCTCCGTGGCGGCCGTTGCTTTGGCGGGGCCGGGGCTCGCTCCGCGCTCCCTTCGCGGGGGTGCCCGGCGGGCGCTCGGCTCTTCCCTGAGGCGAGGGGCGCGCCGGGCCCGCTGCGCCTCCCGCGCGGCTCCCGCAGACGTACATCAAAATACACACGTGGAAATGTGTAACGGAAGCGATTTAATGAATCCCGTGTTGAGTGATCATCTTAGTTCGGTGGTTTCGTTTCTCTAGAGCACGTTTTTTATCATTTATTACAACGCTTTTGTGTTCTGGAGTTTCCCTAGTGTCTGATTTTTATTAAATTAATGACACCACTCTTGCCTGTGGTCGTATACAGAGAGCTTTCCTTCCTTAGCTATCTTGAAGCCTTGTTAATGAGGGGACAACAAACCGCGGTCTGTTTTATTCACAGAGGATGTTGTGAAGGAGTGAAAAGTAGGTGGGCTGGCGTTGCTAGGCTGGGGCTCAGATTTGACAATAACTGGAAGAAACTGTGTGCAAGACAAACGACGGCACTGATCTGACGTGATCACTGAACCTGGGATTCATTGAATTGCTTCTTTCACATTGCTGCTCAGTTCTTGGTAAATATCTGGGCCTTTGGGTGCTCTGTTCATGGCAGAAGTGCACCCAGCCATCGAGGAATGAGCAGGGAGAAATTATGCTGATGGGTGTGCTGGAAATAACAGGTGTTGTCATTAAGTGTCACCACATGCAGAAGTCACAGATGACTTTCACTGCCACAGCGAGTTATTTTAATAATGTTATTCTAAAAATAAGGCAATGAGTGTTCTTGTGTAGACAGTCTTTGTGTGGAGAGTTGGGGTGTTTAAATCCTCATTTTTAGTGTGTTGCTAGCAAATCATAGTTTATCTAAATGAAATATTCTTTTTGGCAAATATCTTTTCTCTGGGCTGTTTTGGGGAGACTTTTTGAATGCATGTGCCAAGGTCAGGGTGTGATCTGTAAATTCTTACAGTGCAGGTTGGCATTTCTACGGAGTTCTCATGAAGGGATGACAAGCTGACTGTGAATGTTCTGGTGTCTGTGTAAAGATGCTGCAGTTTTTCACTTCATACAGTTTTATGCTCTGCTTAGAGCGGAGGATGAAACTGATGGAAAAATTGGTTTGAAGGAGAGCATTGAATGTAACAGCAGAGAACTGCTTTATGCTTTCATTTTCTTCTTAGGAGCCTTCAATGTTCAGATAGCAAAATCAAATTGAGCTGGTGACCTGATATCAGTGTGAAGCTTTGATGTGAATTCACAGGTCTTGCTGTGTCAGTTGTCACCCTCTCTGGGTTTTTCCTTGGTTTTTGTAGGACATCTGAAGCTCATTAGCTAAAAGCTAATGTTCCTTAAATAATTTTTTCTCACATTACTGTGTCATTTTCCACAAGTTAATTGCAGGTTTGAAAAGCGTAAGCTAAATGGAAGCCTGGAATAACATTAATCATTAAAATACTCTCCACCTTTTCCTTGTGTTTGCAGGAGCAGCAGGGAATTATGGACAATTCTGCTGGGCAGATCAGCTTTAAGAGAACCAGTAAGTTCATTCCCTGCAGAGCAGGTTTGGCCATCACTTACTGGGCCCCATGGCCAAACACATCATTTGTACATCTCTTTGAATATTAGTGAAAATATTTTCTGCTGCTCTTCCTTCTTTCTCAGTGTGAATTTTGTTCCCATACCTCTGCTACTTGTTTATTCTTCCCCTGCTTGTTTTCATCCCTGCTGCATGAACTGCCTGGGAGGGGGTATGGAAAAGGTGGTTCCTTTTCTGGAGTGGCACAAGTGCTGCTGCCTGGATTGCCCTGGGGTGTTCATGTGTGGTACAGCTGCTGTCTTATTTTCAGGGCTGGAGCCTGTGCTTTCAAGAATTTGCCCAGAGGTTGGGAATCCAAGTGTTTCTAAACCCAGTCCATTGCCTCTCTAGTCCCCACCCTCCCTAGGAATAGGCAGTGCAGCTCACTGCCCTGTTCAGTTCTGCATCTGGAACCACTCTGAGCCACAGACACCTGGCTTGTGTTGTTCCTGCCTCTTTGTGGTGGTGCAATTGCTTTGCTTTGCTGAAGTTTAACAGATCTAATATTTGGTAATGCACTTTGAGGAGTCTGTTCAGTGGTGTTTGGTTCTGTTTTAGGCCCAGATTGCTGCAGAGTTGAACAAGCACTGGCAGAGGCTGTTAGAGGGACTGTCATACTACAAACCACCAAGGTATAGTCACTGCCTGATTTTAGAAATGAATCTCTAGTGTGGAGTTTCCTAGTAAGTAAAGAAAGGTTGCAGAATATTGTATGAAATATTGAAAGGTCACTGAGGAAAAAGCAAATGTTCAGTTTAAACTGATAAAGTGGAGAACTTTGAAATTATGCCTGTTTAATTTTTTCCTTGAGATTGCTGCGTTTTTAATGACTAAAATTTCTTTTCACTTTAGTACAACTTCAGCAGAAAAAATTAAAGCTGATAAAGATGTAGCTGCTCCACTAAAAGAGTTGGGTTTGAGAGTCAGCAAGTTTTTGGTGAGTGAAGCTGCTCTTGGATTATTTTTTATCCCTGAAATGCATTGTTATAGGATTCTGATACTGAATTAACCTTTGTGATGTTGAGTAGAGAGAAACTTAGGGTCCTTTCAGTTCAAAGTAATCTAAAGGGTGTTGAAGTACATGTTGAGGCTCTAGGTCAAGCTTCCAAAGCGATGAGTGACTTTGAGATGCTGTGGTTTTCCTGGTCCTTTTCAACAGCAGCCACCTGCCATGGGTCTGAGTTGGGTTCTTCCAGGCCAACTGCTCAGCTAAAAAACTGATGTCCTTAAATCAGTTGCCTTGTTTGACAGTCCTCTCAGTTTAGCTGCAAGGTTCTGTTTCTTTAAGCCAGAAGTTTAGAATTCAGTGGCTGGTGGTACTTTTATTTAAATGACTGATGCTCCTTTAGCTGAAGTTAAACTGCAGCTCAGTGACATTAAAGCTTGTGTATTTGGCATTAAAAGAAGTGCTGATTAAAGCATCTGCCTGCTGCAAAAATATTCATTTGGCATGTTATTTGTTTTGAAGATGAGAGCTGCCTGAGTATTTGGAGAGAATCTTAATCTTTAATGAATTTAGCTGCCTTCTATTAATTTCAGATCATTTCTCTTTGTTTTGTTCAGGGTCTGGATGAAGAGCAGAGTGTGCAGTTGTTACAATCTTATCTTCAAGAGGATTACAGAGGGACAAGAGACTCCCTGAAGGTCCATAGCTCCCATTTATGTTCAATTTACTCCACATCTTTCCTTAATAATAGTTGTTTTTTGATGCAGGTGGTCAGATGTGAGTCCTAGTTCTGATTGGGAAATAGCTTTGTAGCTTTTCTTCTCTGGAGCTGCATCCAGGCTTATCTCTTCCTTCTTGCATCTCTGCAGGATCTCCTCTCTCTGTCACAGGAATGCAGGAAAGCTACAGATTTGTGAATGAGAGTGGAGCTGAAAAATGAATACATAGTTAAAAATGAGTGTTTTGGCTTTGTGCTTTTGGAATCTGTCTTTCCAAATGAAAGAAAAAATTGTCTTTTATTTGTTTTAGTCATTTTGTGAACATATATTTTGTCAGTAGGTATTTTTCAAGTAGCTATTTATTTTGTCTTATTTTGTTTACAGACAGTTCTTCAGGATGAAAGGCAGAGTCAGGCTCTGATGCTGAAGGTTAGTTATTTCCATTTGTATTTTCTGTGGAAAAGATCTGTTGGCAGCAAACCTAGTTTGTTTCTGTGGAAAATCTTGAAATAATTGAAGTATTCCTTCATATAAAGGATGGCTTTTAGAAGGTGCTTCTGAAATTGAGGGATGTGTTTGTAGACTTGAAGAGGGTTAGTAATTGCTGCAGAAATGAAATTTTAGGCTTGATGTTAGGGAACTTAGCTGGGTAGATGTACACTGCCTTATTTTCCAAAGCTTGTAGGTTTGTGTGTCACTGTCTGACGTGACAAGATTGATGATCATTTCTGACAGAGAGTAATAGGAATGTCTTCTTGCCTTTCTTTTCCATGTTTTCTCATTTAACAGTGTAATTACAGACCTGTCATTATGGCAATGCTAGATTGAGTTCTGTAACATTTATTAAGTGTTGGTTATTTTCCCCAAATTCAGAACTGCTCAGTTGAAATTCCACCTGTAGTAACTCTGTATTCCTGTGGTGAAGGCCTTGGCAGTGGTTGGGAGAGGGGGATGGCAGGGAGTTGGACACTGTGCCGGGTTGGTGTTGATGGCACTTTGCATTCACAGCTGGCTGACTACTACTATGAGGAGAGGATCTGCATCCTGCGCTGCGTCCTCCACCTGCTCACCTACTTCCAGGACGAGAGACACCCTTACACAGTGAGTCCAGGCCTTGATGCCATTGAAACAGGCTAAATGTGGAAGCTGTGGGGTAGTTCCCTGCTTGTGCAAAAAGCCCACGAGTGTGCATGTGAGAAGTTCATGGATTTGTTTGTTT